TGGCCTAATCACCCCGTATTTAGGGTAGTCTCCGAGCCCCTCAGTGGGGACGTATAGTGAGCTGATGATAATGATACGTTTAGCCTCTCAGACTTTGTAACATCCATCCATCTTGGAATTAAGCCATAAGGACACATAAAATATTCGTTTAATAACATAATATCAAGTATTACAACACTTGATTACATTTTGGATTTTCCTTGTATTTATATTAGAATGAAGCAACATCCCATGTAACAAAATACAACCATTATCAACTAAAATATTACGCTATAGTAGATGCATAAGGAAAATACCTGTTAAAAGCACATATATATAAAGTCTCCAATATCTGAATCACAGTCGTTAATTCGCTTCGACCGGTGTCACTTGGTTGCAAACAAAAACGTGATATCAAAAAATGTATTTAAAACTGGCTTTGTGCGTGTTCCTACTGATCGGTATGCAAATGTGCGTTGCTTACCCCGCGAGACAAACGCCAACGTCGGTGGCAAAAGACATGACAACAAATCCCAAGCCAGTTTTGCCCGATGACGAAGATGGACTTGGTAACAGATTCGGTATCAGATCAGGGTCTTGTCCCGTGGGATACATCAAAGCAGGCTCTATGTGCTTCCCAGCGAACTAATGGAGGACTATTTTGTGATATGAGTACACCAACTATATTTTAACAACTGTTCACCTGTGATGTTTTTTTAATAAACTTGATATTCTTGTTTAATCTGTTTTTTTTTATTGAATTGACAAGTCTTTGATTAATTGTTGTGTTTAGTTTCCTTATTAGATTAAATTCGAATAGATTTTATGATATCTCATTAAATACATATCATATGGCATATGTAATTCGATCATATATTGGAACAATGTCTGATAGAAATTGATATCTTTCTTACCAATCTTACTTCTTAGTAATATAAATCTGAATGTTTGGATGGCTTTATGTTTGTTAGAAGGTACCTCTAGAACAAATTATTGTAATTAATTATATTTATTTATTTAAGCAAATTAGTGCATAATTTTGTATTATATTAAACTTATAAGTATAAATTTACAAAATAATAATATCGTGATCTCCTGTAACAAAATATTTAACTGTCGCCAGTGACTCTGTCCGCACGTAATTTAAAAAAAACTTAATTAGTAGCTTATGTGTTCTTCCAGGCTATGTTCCACATCTATGCCAAACTTTAGCGAGATCCGTACAGCCGTTCTGGAGATACTTTTAAACAACCATCCATTCATTTCAACATTTGCATTTATAATATTGGTAAGATTTAAGGTTACTTTCCATTTTGACTCAATCTTCTTTGTCTTCTCTCAATCATCTCTAATAATAATGGACTAAATAATATTAAATTATTGAATACAACGAAACTGTTCACTTAACCGGTTGTAGAGCAGGTTGCCTTGAATAATAATTTAAGACAACCTGCAATCTGTATTGATTATTTTATTTTGTTTTTTTTTTCCTTGCAGATCAAAAAGTAGTAGGAAATGTGACCTTTATGACACTTAAAAAAATCTTTTTCTAAATTTTTTATCATAATAAACATTCAGCCAGTGATATGGAATATGAAATTGTAAGTCGTAGGTGCAATTGCACAAATATAATTTGTTTAAAGTAACAACCGTCAGTGGTATATAAACATTGTATTAACAATTACTATCGTCATGTTCTTTTCCTGTTATAATATTGGTATATTGTAAGCAAATCTACAGCCGCGCGTTGTGCTAATTGACGCTAACTTATCGAAATGCATACACTTCAAGGTTCAATTAACAAAGCCAGATGCATCTGTTACATCGACATATTTCATAGTAAATTTAACAATAGCGTGAAATGATTAATTAACTATCAAAATTGTAATTTTCCCGCTATTTTATGTTTATAACCGTGTGGCTTGTAGTTACGATATTGTATTTTTAATTCTTACAATGATTCCAGTGATAGTGGTTTTTATTTTAACGTAAGTGTTGTGAATATAAGATACTTTAATTATCACTTTGATTCTATCATTTTGATTCTTGTCAATAACATGAATTAAACAAAAGAGGATCGAATGATTCAACGGCAGGTCTGCTTGATTAAACTTTAAAAAAATAATAATCAAATAAATAAGTTTACGTCTCTTATATATTACGATAGTTAAAAAAAATTACAATACTTGTAAAATTAGAAATTGGAATAAACTGCAATAATACTTTAATTTTAAAAAAAACTACAACTTTTATATAAAAGTTTTAAAAACATTTCATGATGAATAATAATTTAACGTATTCTTCAAAACAGCTTCAAGTGTATCGATAGCAGTGGTACATATAAAAATCATGAAAATCCTCTTATTCTGACATCGTATATTGAAAATGGTGAAGTGGAGAAAGCTAGAAGTTTATCAAAAAATGATCCCACTGTATATAAAAATATTAAAAGCTATTCCGGCTTTTTAAATGTAAACAAAACTGAAGATTGGAATCTATTTTTCTGGTACTTTCCTAACAAGAGACAAATATCGGAACAAACGCCGTGGATAGTGTGGTTGCAAGGTGGTCCAGGGATGTCATCTCTCTATGGACTATTCAGAGAGATTGGACCTTTAACGATTAATAACGGCAAAGGTAAATTTAGTTATTACGATTTAATTAAAAACACATAACTAGAAGTAAAAATCTTCTACATTAAATGCTACCAAAGTGTTTAAAACACAACTTTTTTAGAACACTATGTAACAAGTTGCCCTGTAATCCACGATAGGTACTATCTAGTTCATTTAAGAAAGCATAGAGAAAATAGACTATAAAATTTAAAAAAAATTGTAAAAATATACTTTATAAAATGTTATTATACTATAAAACTACCCATGGTCCACACTAAGGGAGTCGGTACCTACCCTAAGTCAGAGGTGATTAAGCTGTCCACGCTGTCCTAGTCTTGGTTGGTACGAATTTAACTATAAAATAGAATTTTCCAAATACACTTCAAAAATGTTATTTTTGTTTCGAAGTATATTGTAAAGTGTTAATAGACGTTGATTCATAGTAATATTTACTAAGAATATTTGCAGTTGGAATGATGCCAGTAACTTGGGCTAGTGATTACTCACTGCTGTTTATTGATAACCCCGCCGGTTCCGGCTTTAGTTTCTCACGACGAAAACGATACCCTCATAATGAACATGAGGTAAGCAAATTTACGAATTTAATTTTGCCACACGGGTAACACCTTGCCGCCACTGCGAGCCACCCGTATGGTCGTGTTGGCGAATTCATAAAAAAAATATAATATTTATGCGATCAAATTCACTTAGTAAAAGCAAGTAAGACTTTTAATTTCCACAAATTTTTACTTTATTAGATCGGCCAAAGTCTCATGATGTTCATGAAGCAATTCGTCCAAGTATTTCCAGAACTAAAAGAAGCACCACTGTTTATTGCCGGGGAAGAATATGGCGGGAAATATGTTGTAGGCATGGCTCACTATATACATCATGATGAAATGTTCTCGTCCACTATTAATTTAAAGGTATTCGTTGACTTATTACCAATAATACAAGGATAGTTCATATTGCAGTGAGAAGTAAATGACTTGTAATAAACAAGTTGTAAGAACAAGAATATTTCCTCAAATCAATTAAGCATAAAATTATTGGACGGTCCTTGACCATGAAATTACCTTATTTTGTTAATTGTTTTTGTTTACTTTGACATTTATTTCGTCCAACACACAAGATGTAAGGATTATTTTTATTGTTTCTAAGGGTTTGATAATTGGTGACGGCTGGATCGATCCACCTAATTTGCTCCAGTACTCTAAATGGGCTTTACAGCTTGGTCTCGTCGATTACCATCAAGCCGCAAAGATAAGAGAAGTGGAGGACATGGCCAGGATGTACTGGGACCAACATAATTTATACGACTATGCTGGGGTAAATAAAACTTTAAATATAAGCGATCGGTAAATACATGGATGATATTATGTTGCCCATATTTATCTAAACCGTTTCTAAACCGTAAACGTTTGTGTTATGAATTCAAACATAAAACATGGTAAATAAAAGTGTAATTTTGGCTTTCTTTTCAGAAGGCAAAATGGCGTACAATATGCTAAAAATATTCGCGCCATTCGACGATCTAAACTATTTAAAAGACGATACAGAACACTGGGAACAAGAACTTATTAAATTTCTCAACCAAGATAAAGTCAAAAAGGTATTACACGTGGGCGATATAGGATTCGATTTCATCAATTACAGCTCTCAGAGTAAATTGTATGAAGAAATTTATCTATCAGTAAAACCATGGTTAGAGGAACTGATAGAACACTACGGAGTCCTATGTTACAGGTGACGAATAACTTAACATAATTCATAATAAGACTTCACTTAGGTTTTCAATTTCATACTATTATAATAATTGGGTGATATTCTTTTTTAGCGGACAACTGGACATGCTTATGGCATACGCTTTGTTGGTGAAGTCATATAGAAACCTTGAATGGTCTGGCCGTGAAGCATATCTCAAAGCAAGCAGGGAACCGATTTTTGGTCGGGACCACACCGTTAACGGGTAAGATTTGGAACACCACATCATAAATCTAATCAGTAAAAATATTACAATAGTAATATGACGTTCCCAGGTATATCAAGATGGCGGGCAATTTCATGGAAATAATGGTTCGGGGTGCAGGGCAACATGTTCCTGCAGACAATCCGATAGTAGCAAAACACGTTATAGATTTCTTTATAGAAAAAAATACTAACAATTAATGTTACCTACTGTATAGGTACATTCCTAGTATCTTTGTATTTTCGCAGAAGTCTGATCTTTTAATTATAAAGTAAACCTAAAAATAATGAAAAGTTTTTTTTAAATATAATATAAGAATCATCTAAATAAAAATTATTTTCACATTTTTAGATTTTGAATTTTCTGAAAAACGTCTTTCCTAAACGTAATATTATGTCAGATGTCAATGTCTGTTCTTCAAAAAGACATTAACATTTGGCAGAACTTTTGGTAAATGTCAAATTATGCCGAAAAGATTAAAAAGCTATGATCTCATTAAACAACAATTCTGATCTACACACCCTGTAACAAGATATTAACAGATGTAATTATTCGGTGATTTCTTCACATTGATTGCACAGAAATGCAGCAGTCTCCTTTTGAGAACATATTTAATATAATCGGTGGTTTTTCTAAAGGCAATGAAAAGCCCATGAAACATGGATTTTATAACGCTTTCGCCTTCTTTATTTTAACAATTTGCTGTGTGGCAGTTTATGTGTTATTCCTGATATTAGAACCTTTCTTTAAACCTTTATTATGGGCCTTACTAGTTGGATCGATTCTTCATCCTTACAAATACAAAATATCGAAACAGATAAAGTCATGGTTCGAAGATTTAGAAAAATCCAACACCTCAGTTGTATTTGGTTTGATGGTAATACCCGCAAATGTAATTAACTTTGCCTCAGAAACTGTTGGAAATCAGTTTAAGGAACACTACAAAGTAAGTTATCTCATATATTTTAATTCTAAAATATAACTTTTCAAACATTATTCAAAACAGTCTCATTGTTCTTTAGTTAACATAATTGGTTCATGAACTTAGCCTACACAATTCTTTAAAAATAAAATTAGCTAGAGTGGGTTGTTGAAAAAAAAGTAATTAAGTACCAAATCTTAATACTGTCATTCTACTTTACTTTCAGACTATTATTGGATTGTTGTCTGCTATATTTATATTTCCATGGCTGTACAATTCAATTCCTCGGAGCTTATGCTGCATTTTCTGGCAAATTACAAGCTTCATTGGAGTGTCAACAACATTACTTATCCAGTTATGCACCTCCTACACAGTAAGTACATTTTTCAATAACTTATTTATTTGTCTTTTATAATAATTTATTGCCCCAATTACTTTATAGTTCTTGCCCATAATTACTGTCTAAGTTCACTGTTTATTTAACATAGGTTTGAATTCCTTAGTAAGACCTTACAAGGGTTGCAACAATGTTTATCTATATTTGTATTATAAGCCTTTCTCTTCCTCCAATTGGTCAGAGATATTTTCATTTTAACAGTAAAATGTACTTTAACATGGTGTAAGATGGAAATTTTACCGTCAATTAAATTGATACTCCACTTTTACTATTAAACCTCTACTAAATTTTGTGTTCTCTGATCTTTTTTACAGACTTTAACATTTGCATTAGCTTATATTATAAGTGTGTACACATTATGGTCACCTGAAAGGTCTGGAATATTTAAAGCCACATCATATCTTCTTTGGCTTGTTGTAACCAGTTATATAGCAAGCTTGTGTGGCTCATACCAAGTTTATATGTTTGTTCTGCTTCAAATTATTGGAGTCACGGGTTTTGTACTTGAAGTGTTACATGTTCATAAAGTATTATTAACAAAAGGTGAGATAATTACTTTATATATTTTTGGATTTGCTCTACATGTCACTATCAATTCAATATTATATTTAAAACTCTATTGTGGCTGTCAGAGTTATAATTACTTTATGAACTCTTTTACAGACCCTGAGGCCTCTATCCTTCTAGCATTGAATAAAGTTATTATGAATGGCCACACTGATGCTAAAGAAGAAAATGTAAAATCTGATATAACGGAAAGTATTCCAGAAGAACCTAGCGATAAAGAATCGACACCTGATAAAGAAAGTCCAATCACTCCGGAACCAGGTCCAAAACGCGGCAGCTGGACTGGAAACGATTCTACACAGAGTTCTCCGAAACATGCTAAGATCTTATTTAAAACAAGAACTCTATCTGCTTTACCATTACCAAATGTTAAAACAAAACCATCAATCGAAAATCGAATCTTAGCATCGTTTAAACAACGGTCTCTTGATGAAAATTATATGAGGAACAGTTTTAATAACGATGATGAGTCAGCTATATATTTCAAGCTTTTATTCTTTGGATGTTTCTGTATGCTTGTTTGGAAACATATCTGGTTGTTACCGGTGATGCTGTTTTTCTTAGCAATACATTTCATAAAATGGATGCTCAACTTCTTTGGTGTTTGGCTCTTCTTTGAAAACTATTATAACAATGTTATGTCTAAAATCAAGAACTGGTGGGGAGACAGGTAATTATCAAAGTTCATATAAATATTGAAAGAGTTTTCATTACCGATACATCCCACCCCAAAAAGCTGGAGCATAATTTTTGGGTGTTTTTTTTACAGGCAATCTGCATTACTACCTGCTCATGTCCGTGGAGTAGGCAAGATGCTATCTATCTGCAACCGCAGTGTGACAGAGATGGCCTATAGTTCTGTCGACACCGTCTCCTCGTGCATTGTCATTGTTGGCCTTATTTTCTTTGTCACTGTTGCTGTAGTTTTCGTCTGCATTCAGGTTAGTTAATGTTTTCTTCAATTGAACTGGAAAATATACCTTCGCTCTCTTTCGCTCTCTTTCTCTCTCTCTCTAGCTTTATGTTTCTTCCTCTTTTTTTAAATGAAATGTTATGTGGCAAGTTAATAAATGCTCCTTTTATTTCTTTGCTAACTCACTTATTTTTAAGAAAATAATTTTAAAATGTTATGTTATATATTTGGAATACATATTTTAATATTTATTTTAGATATATTCGGAAGCGATTGTAGTTGTACAACTGAGTGGAAGTCTCTTGAACAGTACTTTTGTTCAGCACAGCCCACTACAGAAATATTTACCCGATGGTTGGGATGAAAAACTGGACTCCCTCATCGATGATGCATATACGTACGGAAGAGAAGGAATATCAACTGCTGTAAGTTTTATTTTTATTTTTTATATCAATTGCATTTATAGATTCAAGGAAATAAAAAAAAATATTGCTGATTCTTAATATCTTCCTTCTGGTAGTAGTTTAAAGGTTTTAAAAGATTAAATTAGTATTTTATTTTTAGCATTTTTATGATGAATTTCTAATGTAGATACATATTTGATAGAGAGTTTTTGGTAGAGATAGAAGCAATGTTAATTTTTTCCTATCTTATTTTTTTTTTGTACGCTTACGAATGGACGCCAATCATCTAGATTAGAAAATACGTAAGTTTATCTAGATATTTCATCTATTGAATTAATAGTTATTGTTTTACTCCGTAGTAAGTAAAAATGCACTTTTATGTCGGAAGGATTTGTTAAAATATTTTCTGTATCTTTGTCAATTTTACTCATTTAATTTAATTTCTTACTAATTAAATGGAGATACTTGGATGGATGTTTGTTAGAAGGTATGTCCAGAACGGCTGCATATATATCGCTGAAACTTTGAATAAATATAGAATATAGTCTAGAAGAATGAATAAGCTACTACTAAGTTAATTTTTAATCCAGCGCAGACGGAGTTGCGCGCGACAGCTAGTATATAATAGTCTTAGAAAAGTTGATTCTATACAATGTGTATTTGAATTTAACCTTTTTATTTTCAAATTGCAATATATTTCAGATATTTCAACAATCAAACATTTTGGATAAGGTTAAAGTTTTGTTTGTACAATTATTTCACTTTGAATTTAGCTCACAAAGTAATTTTTGAAACCTAATTAATTATAGTTCTAACGTTTTTAAAGCTATCCGTTAGATAAAGCTAGGCAAGAGTGAAATATAGTTTTTCACCGCTTAAATTTTGTATTTTTAACAGGTCAATGACATTGACACTACTAAAACTGTACTGCGATAACCTTATATAGGCTTGGCTAAAACACATAAAATCCAAAATATTCCTGGTCAATAAATTTTTTTATAGGTATATGACTTGCTATATTTATTTTACAATAAATGTCGTAAGTCTCACAAAATAACTGAAAAAGGTGGCAATGGTCGCTCTATGAACCTTGAAATTGACGTTTTTGTGTTAATTATGTAAAATTTCGGCATTAGATCAAAATGATGAATGACAACATTGTAATGTCTATCAATAGGTGAGGAATATCCTGAAGGAAGGTGACCCGGACAAGGTAGGCCGTGTGGAAACTCAGATCCTGGAGCTATGGGACCGCGTGTACCAGAGCTGGGTGTCGCTGCACTTTGCTGGCAATGGCGGTAATGTCGGCCCACAAGTCGACGGCTCCGCTGTGCAGGACTCCTGGGATAACTTCCTTAGTAATGTCACGCAAGCACCAGGTTAGTGTAAAACAACGTATTTGAACTTTATCCTTTTGTCTTTAGATCGTTGGTTGCTCAGTGGTTAAGCAACGGATTTGTAATCCACAGGTCGGAGTTCAAACCCCAACTTGTATTAACGTTTTCAGTTGTAATGGCAGCTTTCGTACCAAAATGCGGGGGGGGGAATGGCAACTGTGCAGCGCAGATGACCTTGGGCTAAGCTAGATATAAAAAAAAGAAAAATTCCACTGTTTTTTTTATTTCATATGTACATTTAATTTTCAACTTTTTTACGGTGAAGATGTATGTGAAGTCAAGAAATCAGCACTAGTCGACAGTGGTTAACTAAGTGGCCTGGTAAGGGTAGCCTTCCTAAGTAAGGGTAGGCTTTCGTACCCTTCGGTGGGGTAACAGAATTGACGACGAGTCCCAGGTTGACAGCAAGTTACTCTATAATATAGGTCTATTCGACTACTCTGGCATAGTGTCATGGGTGTCGGCTAACGTGGGCACGTTGCGTGAGATCGCGGCCAGTGTATGGGCGCCGCTCGCCAGCAATGTGTCACTGCTGGCGGGCTCGCTGGGCGCGGCCACCTCGCTCCTTCTCTGCGGCGGCGGAGCCATCATTAATATGTTTATTAACTTGGTGAGTATACAAGCAGTTAGATGACATTGAATACGTGTTGAGATTGTAACGTTAAATGAAAACGCTCCCTCTACATCTCTCTCACTCTATCTCTCCCTGGTTCTCTCTTTCTCTCTCTCTCTCTGTTTGTCCCTTTCCTTCTCATGAAATGTCAAGTGACAAGCAACGTTGTGTGGCCAAGGTGGTGTTCTTCACAACGCTGTTCTACCTACTGGCATCTAGCAACGCTCTGTACAAGCCGGTGGAGGTGCTGACGCGGCTGCAGGCCGGCTTCGGCCCGCGTCTCGGCATTGCGCTCTCCGTCGCCATCAATCAGGTATTAATATTTTCAAATATCTTTGCGGCTCGGAACATCGCACGACTATGCAAAGTCCCTTGCAGACTGTATTTTCCACTAAAGACCAAAACATACAACGTTCCAAAATTATATTGGCTAGTACATATGTATGGAGTTTCCATAAAATTTAGTATTTAAAAAAAACTTTTTTGTAGTCTATTAGTCTGGTTTTTATTGAATTAAATTTCCCTCAGGTGTTTAGGGCGTCGTTTAAGATGGCGTTATTCTACGGTCTGTGGACGTGGCTGGTACATAACTTATTCGGAGCCAAGGTCGTCTATCTGCCATCCGGTGAGTTGTTATATTTTATGTGTCATGATATAGTACAAAATCATACTAATATTATAAATGCAAATGTTTGGATGGATGTTTGTTAAAGGTATCTTAATACCGGCTGAACGATCTCGATGAAATTTGGCATACATATAGAACATAGTATGGAAGAACACATAGGCCTACTAATTATGTTTTTATTAATACCGCGCGGACGGATTCGCGTAGGACAGCTAGTATTTAATAATATAAATCTGACAATCCTTTTGAAGCGTATAAGAACAATCCTTTCGACTCAAACACGCGTGCGCCACGCACCCCACAAACATGTTTACACACATTCATCATTAAACTTTGTGATGGAATCGTTTAATTTGTTTGTTCCAATTTTATATTATCTATTACATATTAATATTGAAAAGAAATGTCATATTTCGTAAACATAATATATTTTCTTTGCTGATAACTACAATCCAATTTGTAAACTGTTTGTCTGTATGTTCTCAAGGCAGTTTGATTTGGGTAATCTAATTTTGACGTTTGTCGGGAAAGTAAAATACATGAAGGCCATATAATAATAGTCTACTTTTGTAATTAATTTTAAATCATTTTAATTCTGCGCTGAAGAAATCAAGGGCATCTATTTATAACATTACTAGCACTCGCCCTCGTCGACTGTCGAATCGGTCGCAATTAAAATAAAAACTTAAATAGTAGCCCATAGGTTGGAAACCTATGTTCTACATCTGTGCCACATTTCAGCGAGATCTGTAAACTGGAGATACCTAGTAACAAACACCATCCATCAGGGCATTCGTAAGATTTAAGGAGTACAACAAAATCTGTCTTTTGGTCATAACAAAGATGGGTAAATTTTGAAATATTAAACAATTTGTTATTGTTTTTAACATTTGAATAACAACATCCTGGTACGTTGAACTTAACATTTCTAGTTGCGAAATGATAAATTTAACTCGTCGCGTTTGTAGTGGGATATTTTAGTAAAGTATTATCTCCGGATGATACGAGACCGTGTGACATTTTTATTACTCTACTCGTGCGCAGTCCGACAAAACACATTCACATCTTAAGAGAAAAATGTCATTATATCGTTCATGTGACAATGGTTTACAAAGAATTTCTAGTATTAGTCGTACTAATTGATTTAACGTTTGCGGTGAGAATTAATTTTACCAGTTGCCAACAATCTGAGTGGATCTGTGCTAATAATATACAAAGTGATATTGTTTATAATTGTGCCGGCGTTAGAGCTAACGTAAGTATTACTGTATAGAATGTTCTGAATAATTTTATACGTTAAATTACATTAAATTTTCTTGTTTTAGGAATTTATTATACATTTAAAAGATTTTTATACTGATAATACAAGAACGAACGAACTGACGATACAGAATTGTAAAGACTTAAAAATAATAATCGATTGCCCTATTTTACAAAGACCTTCGAAGTTACAGTCTTTTAAAATAAAAAATTGTGATCGCCTTGAATTTGCAACGTTAACATCGAATTCCGCAGTACAAACTCCTTCCGATATAACTTTGGAGAATGTAAAAGAAATTATAAATATACCAAAGAAATTCTTTAAATCGCCCACCAATGCATTGGAATTAAAATGCTTAGGATCAACTTCGTTGAAGAAAATCCGCGTCGCTAATAGTAAAATATTGTCTATAAATAGTAAAGCCATTTATAATGTTAGCGGAGCGAGGAGTGTTGAATTTGATAATGTAACAATTACAAATATTCAAACACAAGCGATAGAAATTATCGGCGTTGATAATATGGCTTTTATAATGAACAATTGTACCATTGAAAATTTAGAATCGAAAGGAATAACAATACAAAGTAGAAATACAATAATATCTAATAATATTTTCAACGATATTGTTGCAAATAGTATTAATATAACTTCAGAAATATTAAACGTTAATAAAAATAATATCAAGGAGATACGAGCTAATGGACTGATGTTTAACGCAGTTAAGACAGATTTTACGGATAATTATATAAAAGTACTTAAAACTAACGCTTTGGCAAATGTTAAATGCTTGAGAAGACGGGTGAACAGAAAACATTTTAAATTTATTAGAAATAGAATTGAAAATGTTGAACCTTACGCTTTAAATTTCGATTACCAAAGCTGTAAAACTACTGGATCAACAGTTATATATCAAGATAATAAATTAGATTGTAAATGTCGAAATGTTGCATACTTAGCTTCGACAACAAGAAACGAATTGCACGGTATTGTTTTGAATGTAACAAACTCTAATACTTGTATATCTGCTCCTTGTTCATTGCCTGTCGAAGTTATAAAATTATTATTGGAAAGTGCAATGTGTCAAATAAATCTAGACGCTCAAGTTATGTGTTTATTATATAACGATAGACATACAACTAATTATGACATAACAACAGATGAAGATGTAACGGAACCGGCACCGACTTTTTATTTAATCAGACAAGCTAACGCGCCTAAAGGTGACGCGAGTGCAGCCATGACAGCCATAGATAAAGATAATCTTTTAAAAGACAGTCATCTTAATATGACGAATAGAACGACAATCAAAGTTGTATTTGATTCATCAAGAGATTTTGTTGAAACATTAAGGAGCACAAAAACTAGTTATAACAAACCGGAAGCTCAGAAACCTCAAGCAAAAGATGAATATGTAAGCCATTGTACTGGGGTTCATTGTAGGAACACAGTCGCCTACAATAAACAGAAAGCTTTAGAGTTTTATAAATATGTTTACGCTCAGTTGCGGCCGCCAAAACAATTAGATAATAAGAAAAAGAAAACATGATTTTTTTTGTATTGTTTACGAATAAATTTGTTATCTGTTTATTTGGATATTTGTAACCTACCCTCCCATTATTTTCATTTGAAAATCAAGGTGTGTGTTAAATATTGTTAGCGGGATAAGATACAACAGATTACAAATTATCTTTAAATGAAGATTTACTCTTTATTGCATACCAGCTGTCGCCCGCGACTCCGTCCGTCGAATAAATAAACTTAATTAGTGGCCTATATGTTCTTCCAGACTATGTTCTACGTCTATGTCATAATTCACATCCGTTAAGCCGTTCTGGTGATACCTTCTAACATCAATCCATGTAAACATTCGCATTTTTAATATTAGTAAAAAGTAAGATGTTTATATAGTACTGCGTTTACTATATCTCATTATCTACTCGTGTAAAAACCGAGAGATACAAGTAGTTGTTCATGTATCTTTGAAAACATAAACATAACACAAACACCTATGACCCCGCTCTTTAGATTATCGCTGTTTGTTAGCCTCGTCATTTTGCGTGTCACTATTAATTTTAATTTTGCTTTCCCTCACTATATACAACGTACATATAAATTACTCATTATATTTAATATGTATTTTTGATTATTTAAACCCGATTGACTGGCAGTTAATACTTTTCTCTATAAGTATAATGTACTACCTGTAGCCCACGACTCCGTCTGCGCAGATTTGAAAAAAATAAGTAGCCTATGTGTTCTTACAGACTATGTTCTACATCTATGTCTAATTTCAGCTAGATCCATTGAGCCGTTTCGGAGATACCACGAAACTTCCATCCATCCATCTAAACATTCGCATTTATAATATTAGTAAGATGTAAGAACACCTAGTTCAGTATAACTTCCTGTAGATTTAACATCTTAACCAATTTTCAAGAATGACATATGGTTTCAATTCGTTTTCTTTCCAAACACTTGAAAAGGTGCCATCGACTATTTGGCTATTGCTTATGAAGCTTTATTTCATAACGTAAGTGACGTACGTTACAGTTCTAGCCGCGATTCTCGGGGCTGCTCCTTTCCTTGGGCCGTATTTAGCGGGAATCCCCGCTGCCCTGGACGTTTGGCTGCAGGGTAGGCCGATGGCGGCGTTGCTCCTGCCCATAGTACAGGCGGCGCCTATCGCTTTCCTAGACGCCGCTGTTTACGCCGAGATTAAAGAGTAAGTATTATACCTTCCCTACATAAATGAGATAGATATGGTTAATATGTCACCAAAAAAAGAAGTAAAAAACCTCCGGCTATCTTTAACAAAACCCAACAATCCCATGCCATCGTCACAAAACCTCCTAATTCGAATAAGAAAAGCAAATCCCACTTTCATTAGTGATACCATCTATGAAGAGATTAAAGGGAGGGAGATCAAAAACCTCACACGAGTTCTGATATGGACCAAACGATTTTATCCTAGCTTTTAGATATAGTATCATAGACGTCGCTCGCAACTCCATACGCGCGGAATTAAAAAAAATAATTGGTAGTCTTCGTGTCCTTCCAAACTATACTTTACATCTCTGCCAAATTTCAAACTTCCATCCATCTATATATACATACAAACACTCGCCTTCTAATATTAGTAAGTTTAACCATTGATGATTTCAGTGGCGGTCACCCATACGTGACCGGTCTGGCAATAGCCGGAGGGATATTCTACTTGGGTCCCGAGGGAGCGATCCTCGGACCTCTACTCCTTTGTTGTCTTATGGTCATCCTCAACCTGTCTTCTACATTCTTAAGAGATACACCTTCAGAAGAAACCGCAGCGTTGCATTCAAGAGTCAGGTAAAATAATGAAGCTACTTTGAATCATTATAATTATCATGAATCATTATTATGCAAATTGACGATTAATGATTGTAGTATTTTAAAATTATTGCTTTAGCTTTTGTATTGGTGATAATAAATAAAAATAATATTAAAGATTTATTTAGACGTAAGCTAAAGGTTTTTTCATTGAAGAAAAAAATGTGTGTGTTTTTTAAAGCATTTTTGAGTATATTTATTTCATATTTTCCTGGTTTGGTTTTTGTGAAAATAAAAATGGTTTTTTATTGTTATTTAACTAATATTAATAATATATTAAAGATATAATTGTGTGTTATCTTTCGTTAATATGTTATTTTAATAATAAATAACAATGTTGAAATCGTAAATAATAGTTATCATATAATGTAGCAATTTATTGATGTTTTGTTTATTTAGGTCATTATTGGGATGCTCTTAACTTAAGGTGTGTATTTTGTACTAACCAAACTAATTGTCTCTTACTTTTTATAAACCACTTTTTTTACACGAAATATATAAATATGAAAGGTAAGATATGTTTGTATATGCACAAAATGTTTTGCATACGTTTGTGCTATATGCATGAACTTGCTATGTTTTCAATGTTGCTTTTAATGTCATAATGTTGTAAATAGAATAAAAAATAGATTAACTTAAAATTTTATATCACAAAAAAGTTATTTACCATCGGTTTTTGAGACAATAATCACTGTATAAACATGTCGTCATCTCTGTCATTATCTTTAAGAAAACAGTGACAACAATATGTTTTATATGGGATTATGATCTCATAAACCCAATTTTTTGTGTGTATGCTAAAGTAACTCTAAAAAAGTTTCAGTAGTACTTATTAAATAAAAAGCTATTTATTCATACATTTATACCTATAAAATATATATTATAAAACATTACCCTATATAAAAGTGCTTTGTAATATTTGTGTATATACATTTATTCAGCATGCTTAAATAAATAATAAAGTAACATTTTATATTATAATATTTATATCAATAATATTTAATATTTATTTACATAAGTAATATTCTCTTACAGATACGGTGCTTATCTATGATCATGTTGCATGGAAAACTAACATGAAAGAATGAACAGATCTAGATGTATGCAGATGTACGCGCTCTTTTTCACAACGCATGTTCTATCGACGATTTTCTAGACAAGCCAGCTTTTGTACAGCTTTAAATAACTTCATTGACGTAATATTATAATTTCAATGTCGCTAAATAATTTGACGTTAAATTATAATTTCTTTGCCGGCAAATTATAATTTCTTTAACGTCAAATTATAATTAAATTGATGCCAAATACATTTGACGCAAAATAATAAAGGCGAAAACGTCAAACTAACGAACTAAAGTAGATAATTTAGTACATTATTATAATGCAAATCGAATATTTAGATGTCGCTTTATAAATATTTCTATTGTCAATGAAATAATATATATTTTGTATAAGTTTAATTTTACAATTTGTGGTATGATGGAAAATATTGTCTAAATTACATTTTGATATTATTTTTTTTAATTCGGCATTACTCTTATTGTATTAAAATTTTAAGAAACAAGGTCAGTGCGATCTCTGATTGTTTGCAAAGTTAAGGAATATTGATATTTTGTAATCTGGAAACAACAAATAAGGTCAATTGTAGGTTTAAGTGAATTCAACGAGAAAAAGTATATAGAAGAGAAGAAAATTTTCCCTTATTATCGAAATTTCAGATTTGCAAATCTTATTTTTTTCTAGCAAAAGTAATATAAAGAAATTTTTATTTCGTAATTGCAAGCTATTGTTTTATCCAATTTTTATAGTGCTGACTACATGATTGGGACAAGGACAGAATGATGATTATGGTGTTTTATTTAGTAATTTTATTCACGCTTCTTATGTATCCTGCACTAGGCTGCTTCTAATTTTAAAACTTACTAGTAGAATAGTGAAATTTAAATTGTGTCTATATGGCTTTTAGCTACTTTTGTCTTCCTTTCAATGTCATTTAAAATGTTTAAGGCTCTCTAACAAAAAATCTAATTAAAAAAATTAAAGCTCATGTGATGTTAAAAATGGTGCTTTAAATATTGATTTAGCATACGTAAATATGAAGGTGAGGGCAATTTAATGTTAAAATTTGATGGGAGATTAAATCCCTGGAATTGTCAATAACTATTTAGACCACAAAAGATTAAAACTAAATAGAAAATATCAATTTATAAACGTTTGAAACATGTATAAATATGTGTGTAAATGTTTCGAACATTTATATTATAAATGGAACATTAGTCAATTTATCATTTAATTAATAAATTCAATTAAATACCAAATGAAATTTTACTCAGTGAAATTAAACTAAGTATAGTAAACGTGATATTGCTTGAATAAGCTTTAGTAATTAAATGTGTTAAGAAACACCATATTATATATTTTTAATATAAATTTTGCGTTATAAAATATTTTCAATTTCTTAACAATTATATTAAATAACGTATTAATTCCAGTCGCTTAATTGAATATGAGAAATGTATTAATTAATAGTCATTAGCTTATAAAAATAATGCAGGTTGCCTGTCTTACCATGGGTTTCTGAGACCTAAAATATATTATCATCCCTGTTTTGTCAAACATTTTGGCCTCAGAAACCAACGGTTAGTAATACAAGCTATTGCTTAATTTAAATCTTTAATTGTTGCTTAAAACATAATGTATATTAAAATAATGCAATGAATTTGTGTTCTAAAAATAAAAATCTGAATATTTGTATACACAAATTCACAATTAGAGGGAATAGGAGGACATTTAGTATCTATTTCCACTTAGCAACTAGCCGCACGACTCAAAGAGCGTCTAGTTAGCCGCCAAGTGAAAATAGGTTCTAAGAAGAAACAAGAAAGCCCTTACCAGTTCGAGATGAATCGTCCAAAGATTGTTTTAAGTATAGGCTGATAATATAATTAATTTCCCTTATTGCAAGCTTATTACTCTGACATTGTGTATTGAATAAATGTATTTATTTGCACTTTATTGTTTCATTTAAAAAGGTTTCCGTACTTTATCATTGTTGGAATTTCAATAAATAAAATGCAAAAGTAATGATCAAATCAATCTATAATTTGTTTAATTAAAATTCTTAATTAATTCATGTAGTATTGATACCTAATATTTTTTTCTAAATCTTCAACTGTTATACGTCTCTTTATGTAGTAGTTTACTGCAGTATTCGCCTGCGTTATAACAAGTCCGTTGTCGTCAAAATGACCGTGAAGTGAATCAGTCTCCAACCAAAGGAAAAGCACTACAGCGTCAACTTCAATGTTAACTACGTATTTAAATGTATCGTTTAATTTATTTCTGTAAAAGTTCTTTGAAACGGTTACCTGCAATGAACAGAAAATTTTAAGAACGGACGGACGGTCAAACATATTTGAATCATAATGTCATTAATTGTCAATGTCATTAAATGAATCATTAATTATCATTATCAGACAATGATCAGATAATCTACATACCTTTATGTTAGGTTGCATTAGTCCTTTTATATCCTTTAACGGTTTCGGAAAAACAAAATTATAAGGTGACATCGATACACCTTCCATGTGGAATGAAAATCTCAAGAAGATTTCATCCTTGTTGTAATTCAACAATCCTAAAGACGTCACTTTCTTAGCACTTAGTAAATCGACGTTAATGGCGAACTCTTGAGACTTGAATGGTGTCAAACTGCTCCAATTGAAATAATCTACAGTTATTTTGCCATCAATAATCGGTACAAGTCTATCATTTATGGCATACACGTCCACAATATCAGTTAGCAAAAGACGTGGTGATACCAAAACTGGCGCGAAGAAAGATTTTGCGAAGTAATGAAGCATCTTCCATTTCCCGCCGTATTCTGAAAATTGTTGATTTAGATGAATCTAGACTTCGGGTATTAAATAATATTATATTGGTAAGCTAATACAGATTTGGAAACAAATAAGATTTTACACCATTCTTAGACAAACATAGGATTGAATCTTGAACACGCGATTATTAGAGGACTTGACTTCTCAACGATTACTGAATAAGTACTATGGGCTGCAGTCTCTTTACTTTTTGTTATAAACAACGATATCATTGTCAATATTCACCTATACTGGACCAGGACGGCGCTTGCCAGACATCATTCAGCTGCCAATACAGAGCGCCCATTGTATACCAGTCCGCTTGACTTTGCCGATAGAATTCTGTCTCCGCTTTAATTGCCATTGCTTGGGATATCTAATAAAAACATATTTACAGAAGATCATGACCAATTGTTATAGACTCAAAGGAATTTTAGACATGGCCATTGCCATGGTTACTGCCTTCGACGTACCTGACTGTAAAAGACGAACTTTTCAAAATGTTTTGGGTCGTCTTCATCCAATTTCAAACGCCTATTCATCTGATCCGTGATAAAATCATAACCGTTCGGACTGTGTTGTCTATGTTTCGAATAAGAACTGTTGACATGGTAATCTTCCTTATTTTTTGTTGCAGTCGCCATTGTTTTTAGAGAAGGGAGAGACTGAAAGCCATATTCGGAAGCGAAACGCGTATTTGGATAAATGTTTATATCCCAGTTATCTGATAAATAATTATAATAATGTGTATCACCGTAGTTAGAGTCGTATGGGTTCTTTGCTATATACCCTTCTTGCTCAGATTCTAAGCCATTTGATGGACTAGAAACGAGATATCGTCTTCTCGGATCCCAGGTCTCGACAATCGGTTTTATAGTTTCAACGTATAACTTTATGTATTCGTCTTTGTATTTATTGAATTCTGGTAAAGTATTGTACCAGTTTCCTCTAAGTGCGACTTCATTTTCATTGTTGCCCGCCCAGACAGCAATGGATGGATGGTGCTGAAGACGAATAACCGTTTGTTCAATTTCAACCTTCACGTTACTGAAATAAAGATTATTTAACGTTGCAGAGTTAACAAAATACCAATTTAATAGATTATCCTTTGAACTGTTCTTACTCAAGAAATTCAGTATCTGCGGGATACATTGAACACGCGAAGAGAAAATCCTGCCAAATTAAGATTCCCAGTTGATCGCAGCGTTCATAAAAGTAATCCGACTCATAGACACCTCCTCCCCAAACCCGCAGCATTGCCATGTGAGTATCACGTGCGGATATCAATAATTCATCCACTGAAAACAAAAATAGATTCCAGCCAGTTTGAACCTTAGTTTACCGATAAAGTCTAAATGTGAGTGGTATAACGTACCTCTTCTCTTGTCGTATCCAATTTCCGGAAGAATATTTGCAGGTATCCAATTAGATCCTTTCATAAACATTGGATAACCATTAACTTTGAAATAAAATGTGAGCCCTTTACCAGCAGTTGTGTTGCCTAAAATATATCCAGTAAAAATTAAAATAAAACAATCCAAAAGCAAGCTGTATTTAAGTTTTTTTTAACCATTGTGTTCAGACTTAACGCCTGCGCAAATGTTGCGGCAAACCGCCATCGCGGGAACATTACCGTCGCCTGCATCAGGCGCTTGGGGAATCTTTATACGTGTCTCTCTATTCGTGTCACTTACCTGCAAAAATTATAATTATTTTCTCTCGTCTCTTGGAGTAACGTCAAACTAGATTTTTATTCTCTATGGATATTCACTTACCCAAAATTTTTGAAGCGTCATCTTCAACGAGCTCTAATGTTCGAAAACCTATTTTAATATGTTTATGGCTAACTTCATTGCCATCCTTGTGAGTGGCTAAAGTAACTTTGAGATCGTACAATGGTTGATCACCAAATCCATTAGGCCACCAGAGACTGATGACATTCTAAAAAATTATTCCCTTTAAACAAACCTTCTTTTATATGTTTTGTTATGTTTGAATTTAAACTATTAAGTTGCAAAGAAATTAGATTTTAAGACTGGTCTGACTGCAAAGAAGACGCGTCTCAAGCACTAGGAACATAACACACGAGTCACGAGTATAATAATATGGGAATTGATGTAAGCAAGTATATAATGACACACTTACACTATGTACCGTGATGTTTAATTCAACTTCAACAGTTCCGTCATGTCTTGTCATTATTGCGATTTCTCTTGCTACATTCAAAGACTGATGGCCTTCAACAAATAGCTTCGCGGTTATGTATCCTTCTACACGCTTTGCGCTTGTCCCCGATTCCAAATGAGCGAGGATTCTTAAGTACCAAAGTTGATCTTTTTGTTCTGTATGCGTTGTTAGAGAACGTATTATCGCAGTATCGTAAAGTTCTATATACACAGGCTTCCTAAAAATAAATTTTGTTTTAACTTCGTCAAATGATTTTTAACTATTTCTGGTTTCTTCAGTATAATATGTAAATCGACCTGCACATAATATGCGTACTTAATAAAAATTCGAATGTAAGAAGCTGGGGTTTATTATTAAAAAATATATATATTTACCCTTTAAGTGTCACGGTCAGTGGTCAAGTTTGTGGCCTACTCATTCGCTGACTTGAGTTTTGCAACGAATACTATTACGAAATCATATTGACGATCAATGTTATTTGATAAAGTGCATATATTATTTTGGACGTTAGCTTTAGTAATTTATCTTTAAGGTGCTGGAGAAGTTACCTAATAAAAGAATATCGCTTGATATACGTAAAGCCTATAAAATCGTGCTTTCAAAGATTTTGAAATGTGATGTCAACGCGCAATATCATGTTTGAGTTTATCATCTTGAGACACAACTCCATGTCTTGGTAATTTATAACCGACTTCAAAATAAAAGAATTGTTTTATTGCTAATACTGTTTAAAATGAGACAAATTAGCAATTAGGTAAGGCATAGTTATTTGTTTGATGCGTTTGACGCATCTATAAGTTAAACTCTTATATGTGGAAAATAAATGGATCTTAGTTTGAAATAAGCCCTACAATGTAACCCTTACCATAGTCCAACTGAAGGGAACGCAGGACCCCAGTCCCAGCTGAACGAGGCCTGCATCTTCCGGAGCTGGTTAGCGTGACATTCACCATTGTACTCATCGGGAACGCAGGCGGGCGCTGTAAAGTGCTTCTCGGAACGATTCTCAGCGGCGTGCACGGGTGATGCAAATGTCACTTTTAGTTCGTTTACACCAATCTGAATATAATAATCATTACTCAGAGTTTGTAAAGGACAGAGTACAGAGTTCGAGCCGAAGTCTTCGGGTCAAACTCTGCACTTGACATCGATATTTTCGGCTTAGAGTTAGAGATGGCTGCAATGAGAAATGCAATGATTCTTCATTTTAAAGTTACGTACCTTTAGGTGTTCCTTTACGTCAAAAACATATCTGACGAACATATTTTGTGTGCTGCCGATAGGAACATCGTTTAGCTCAATAAACGCAATCGTATCAACTCCTTCGAAAACCAAATTGGCCACTGGAGATTGGACATCTTTTTCTGACACTGGAATATATTAAATCTTTTTGAAAACGCACAGAACTTTCCAACACTTTTGATTTGCTATTTAACCAAATCAAATGACAGCAAAAAATCAACCGAAGCAAGTAAATTAGATCATAGATATGAAGATATTAATATTAACCTTCATTTTGCATTCATATAATTACGAAATCGAATCGAACAAAAATTATTATTGTGACCGCGCTTGAACGAATTTTAACGCTTTAGACAGTGAAAAACTTCGTAAGTAGCACCGGTATATACATACCTTGGAAGTTTGCCTTGTACGTCCATGTATCGTATGCCACCCAACGTGTCTGGACATCGTTGAAGCCGGCAAGTATGTCGCCGATGATACCAGCTCTCTGCAAATCAGAGTACACCCCACCGGGGACCTTGGCAGGAATCTGTGCTACAAGTCATGATAGAGATTTTAATACGATACAATTACTTTAGTTTAACAACTCAATAACTGTGCCTTATGATCGATCCGCTATTAATTTTAATTAATTTGTAAATAACAGGATATGACAATTTTTCGATTGGTTTCGCTATCTTAACGTCGGTGAAATTAAAAATTCTTTTTTTATAAACGCTACCTGCTTTAATATTTTCTACGATTATATATATTTAATTTATAGATTATAAAGTTTAAATTATTAGTGTACGCTGTTAATATTAAAAAGCATTCACTTTATTCATAAATACCTACTTTAATGTATTAACTAAATCAAATCATATAATTTAAAATAAATTATTTCGTATCTCATGTTCTTCACAAAACATTACGAATAATAAAATGTTAAATGAAAATAATTATAGAACAATAAGATAATTAACATATACTTACTTTTATTATTACTTAGCGTCCAATTAACACGTTTCGACGCGAGATCGATTCTTTTAAATTCACATTTTATACTTGCAATTTGAATTGAGAATAAAATAAAAACCAATAATAATGTATTCAGCATTATTACTATCAATATTATTTAACCATAACTAATGTTATTTTGTTGACAAACGATATCTTAAACCGCGATACTCTAATCACATCATAACAAGTGGACAGCCGTCACTTGAATACTTCATAATAATGATGTACTTCAGATACCAACATTTTATCGATAAAATATATTTTAGATACATAGGAGATGTATATGTGTGTATGCTTGATTTATTAATATTCTCAGATAAGTCGAATAAGATAAAATGAACTGTTACATCACTGGTCGTAGCTGATTTCTTAACAAATATCATATCTGACCTATGGGGGGCATACTTCAAAAGATACAATGATATCATTCAACTCTTTTACAAAGGTTTTGCGATCCATGACTAAGAACTACTTTATTCGTTCGTAAATGTTGTTTAATTATTATGTTTCTGAATCGTAAGAAACAAAAAAAAAGGGTATTGACAGACAGACGCATGGACAACAAAGTGATCCTATAAGGGTTTCGCTTTTTTCTTTCAAGATACGGATCCCTAAAAAACAATAAAATTGTGTATGTTGTAAAAAAATTCGTTATCTGGAGCACTATAATTTACGTCCAATTTATATTCATTTCAAATTTTAAAGTAATTAATTATACACATCGAAATTTTCTATAGATATTACGTAAAAATATCGACATTTGCAAATATCTTGGCCATTGTTTGGTACATCCCTTTATTCCATTAATAACTGAGTCACGTGACCGACGCGCCCGCACAGCGGCTACTAACATACGATTACGTATTCCTCGTATACCCGTCAGCTCGGTTACTAGTTACCTTGTATATATTACCGAACGGTCCTGTTTCAAACCGTTTCAGTAATCACTCTTAACAAGAAAAAATTCCAAACCAACCCATATAATTTGCAACTATTTATTTTGGAAAGTTTTGAAGCTCCAAGTAAATACAATATCGATTACGTTCACCTTTCAATATCTTAAGAATTTGTCAAAAATCAGTCCACAAATAAATTGTCCTCCTCTAATTGTCTCAGTTGTCCAGAAATATTATATTGAGTTATATTATTCGTAATATGTATGAATAATATTTGAACTATAACGAATTCTTAACTACAGCGGAACGCAAAGCGCGATAAGATCGTTTCTAAATAATTTTGTTTTTTAATTATACTAATTGCACATGGAATTTTAAGTTGTATTTAAGTATGTTACACGAAAAATATGATAAAGAATATGTCGTAAAAAAACGTTAATTTTTACCTTACTATAAAAACCAACCTCAGGGGGCTTCATGCAATCCCCTCTCTCTCTCCTACTTACAATTCTATATACTTCACCAATATTTCAAGAAAAGCGTTGGTATATTGTATAATCAAATATGCTGAAAACTGCAAAAAAAAACAAAGTTTATACAAAATTGATGAAATTAAGAAAAACTTGAAAAGAAGACTATACCATAAATACTTTATGCTACTTTAATTTCATTATGAGTTTCTTTGACGTTTTCAATTTCAATTTATTCAATACAGATTACAATTACTTTAAATGAATAAACTTACTTTGTAACTTTAATATTAAATCGAAGCAAGCAAGGTTAACTCAATAAAATGGAGAAAATCAAACTCTACGAAGAATTTAAGTTGATCGAAAAAACTGAGGCTGAAGTGAACGGAGCATGGAAAGGTAATGCAATATTCATTATTCATAAATATTATAAACACCTGTTTAGAACCGATTTGAAGGTGACTTGCAATAATTTTAAAACAAAAAGACTCAGGTATGCAAGATTCAGGTATTGTAGCGAAGAATACGAATAGAATGGCAGACACCTCATTCACTAAATCGGTCAAGCAGTTTAAACTATGGGAGATCATAATGAAGCTGACATAAATTCATACACAACGCGAATACTTGTGTCAGCTAACAAATGTACACTCGTGTGACATAAATTGGTACCTTAATTAAAGTACTATTTTCAGGCGCTCATTTGCTTCTATTCTTCATGGCTTTTGTATTCGGATCATTCTGCACGTTTTGCTTCCACATGATTATGTATCTTTTCGATGAGAAGTGCGTTCTTTTCCCGAAGCTGCTCTCACTGACTTCTTTAAGACATAACCTTATCTATGAATTCATTCCAGACGAAAAAATGGCTGAAAGTAAGACTATTTCATATTATAACTCTTGCTGAATACAAGGCTAGATATAAATTATAACATTGTTAATTTAAATTTAGTTAAATTATGTATAAGTTTGATGTTAGTTGATATTCTATGATGATCTATGATATTCGTTATAAAAAGTTTCAGAAGTCTGTTTACGGATGTTCCAGTGCTGCCCGTCGATTTTCTTAGCACACAATGGATAGATAAGAGCGCGTGCTACCTGCCCACATACGTACCTCTGGTCTCTGGAATCTTCGGCCTCGTGTGGACCACCATGTTCCTCATGTGCTCCGCCAGCAGCCGTACACTCACTGGGTATTTACGTTCTTTAAATATTTAACTACATCGCCTTCTATAATACGGGGCATGTCGTGTTAGCGAAAGAGACAAAGAGCCTTGATTAATAAGAAGAAAGACTGAACCTCTGGATACAAGCTATCTAGGAAACAATTTTCACGATGCTAAAAGTAATATATACTACATCATTAGTTCATTATCCCAGATTACAAAGGCCATGGCGCGTACTGCCTCCCGTATTCGTGTTCTCGCTGCTGATGGGCGGCCTGTGCGTGTACGCGTCCGCCGTCACTCAGCTCGGCCTTGACGAACTCTGCCTCAAGCTCGGCGAGATCACAGGCAGTACTACGTACGTATGGTACACTACGATGTAGAGTCACATGTGCAGAAGGAACGTGTCAATAGCTATTTATCGCCTTGTAGGTGCACATACACAGTGAACGTAGCAACGTTAGCGTATGAGCGACGTATACGCGGTGTGTACCAGGCGACGCAGCTTACAGTAGCGGCGGCCTGGCTGCACACCGCTTGCTGGCTGCTATCCGCCCTGCTGGCGCTAGTCCGCGTCATCCTCGCCGTAGACTTCCACCTCGTGCGCGTCACCACGCACTTACAGGGTGATATAGACAAGATGCTGGTACGCCTCTCATTTATCTACTAAATAAAACTTTATTTGCGGGTTACAAACTTTAAATTATAAAAATGTAAATAGTGAAACTCCACTACTGTTAATCGTTACTGGTAAGGAATGTCTTAAATGTTTTTTTTTGTTATAGCAACGATATGAGAGACACGTGCGAACAGTTACTCCCGATTTCAAAGATACTAAAGACTACAGCCTATCGTACAGCGTAACGCGAGTTCATTTCAAGAGACCTTTTGGTTCAAGAAGTCCTGAGGGCGAGACTTTATACATTTCCAGGCGACCTCAATATAAATCTGAGACATCTTTAGTTGCCGAGGAACAAAGTAAACTACGCAGAAAAACCGTATATAAAGGTGTTCCTAAAGAGAATCAATTTATTGTCGACTTCCTATACGATATAATAGAAACGATAAACTTAACCCCATCAATAAGGGAATCATCATCGAGCTTAGATTATGATGGTTCATCTGTATCTTTAATTATGCGTCAATATGGACAAGAAAGAATTAAATCACAAGCAGAAGCATACCGTTCGCCCGGAGGATCCCAAGAATATTTATCGATAGATCTTCATGAAGAAGAAGAGATATTCAGCGAGATAAAAAGAAATATAATCCAACACTTGAATAAAACTTTAGATAAAATGCAATCCGAACGCGTTATTACGCCTTTTCATGAAGAAAGTTATGAGTCGGTGTTGAATATTACGCCTGACTTGAAAGAAATTTTGGAAAAGAAAACACGGGAACTGAAACAAGATGAGATAATTGAAGAGGTTAAGGAGACTGATGAAAACAAAATAGAAGAAAAACAAGAAGCTGTAGAAGGTCCTAGCGTTAGCTCAGCGGTGGCTAATGAGCAACAAGAAGAGATAAAGCCTCGGATAAAAGAAAAACAGGATTAACCGACATTTATGATGACAATAATTATTTTCCTTATGAGTTTTAGCATTGAGAAATATGCGAATTTGTATTTCAATAAAATAATATCACTTTAACACCAATGATTGTCATAAAATGCAATTCCTTGCTCACACATATTATCATGAGATGAGATGGATCTTAAGAATGAAATATTTTCAGTCATTTTAGTAATAAAACATCAAACAAAATAAGTATAAAAGTCTATATTTACAATATTCCCTTAGGGCCGATTACAACAAAAATATCACAATTATTTAATTCCTTATTATAACACCTTTTAAACATGTAACCTAAAAGGGATATCGCTCTTATTATATCTCTAAACTCCTAGAATCAACACTAGATAATATAATTAAGAATCTAGAATCGAGAATTTTTTCGTAAAACACTTCTTTATTTTCCTATGTTCAATTAAACAGACCAGATATCCGGCCATTAAATACGTTAAGGCTAGCGCTGTACAGTTTTATGCTAAATATGACTTTAATAAGTAGTCAAATACACTTTTCAGATCTTATTGGTGATAGATTTACTTAGTTTCATTTAAAATCTTATTATAATATGAATTTAATTTATTACACAGAGCGGGTTTTCTAAAACATAAACCAAATATCTCAACATGAGAAGAATTTCTTGTTCGGCTGCAATCTATATGTCCAAGGTTTTAGACCTATCTACCAAACATTTGATTAAATATTTGCTATACAATTACGTAAATCTATTGCTTACGCTTCCAATTTCCTAAGCTTAATCCAAACTCCACCGTCGGGCACGCAGGCGAGCGCAGAGGCCTTGATCTTCATCGGCACAGGCGTCCTCTCGTCCAATATCAACTCGTACTTGTGCAATAACTTCACGAGCGCGAGCTTCGACTCCACGTACCCTTGACGCAGACCTAAAATATTATTACATCAATTACAACTCAACGTTTCAAATATGCTAATAGAATTGTTGAGAATCGATGAATAGTTATTGAGCTTGCTAGTGTGTATCTGTATGTTAGTGTGTGTGTGTGTGTAAGGTAGAATACAAAACAAATGGCACTTGGGGTATATACTACATACAACTGAACAAAACTGTGTTTAGTTTTCGGGGAACTGTTACTACTGTTTAGAATGACATTTTATTTCTACTTAAAATTTTAAATATGTTTAGTTAGAAATTAGGTCATTGTACCTCAAGTGATAATGGTAAAAAGAAACCCTTTCTGTTTCTTGTTTATGGCTCTCCCTCATCGGATTGGGCCAATGTCAAGTGTTTAAAGAAACCCTTAATATAATCTTATAGAGACACGTCAATTAAAAAATTATGTGTTTGATATAGAACCATGGTAGCCGACACTAGCCACATAATTTTGAGATGTGGCTACTCTTTACATACCTAGACATTTTCGGGGACCTTCACCGAAAGGCATCCAGTGGCAGGGGTGCATTTTTGCTTTCATCTCCGGAGAAAATCTTTCCGGATCAAATTTTTCCGGATCTGGGAATATATCGGGATCCATTTGTATCGCCTGGACAGGAATGAATACCAAAGTCCCTTCTTCAATGACAACATCACTATTGGGCAGTCTGTACTCTTTTGTGCATCTTCGAAATAGCGATCGCATTGGTGGATATTTCCTCATTGATTCTGTAAATAGAAAACATAGTACTCGTCTATCTTTAACGTTTTATGTGTCACATCGTTGGTAGTTCATGCACGTCCCTAACGAGGTGCTCGAGCGTACCCTGTGTTTAGGCTCTAGTCAAGTATCCTGGCCCAATGCAGATTTGTTGACTAAGGCCTAATCACCTGCTTTTGATAAAAAAAAATACAGATATTACTAATAAAGTAGAGTTGTCTGTAATTACATTTATAAGAAACGGTCAACTAACATTTCTGTAAATAATAAATGGATTTTATAAATGTTACTTTTAATATTTGCCGGTAACAAAGAAAGAACAAATGTTGAAATAACACACCATCTATCACCATGTTCATATAAGTCATTTCATTCTGGGCATCATACGTGCACTGTCCATTGTATTTGGCCAGAACTCGCGTCACCTCCTCCCTGGCTTTTTCCTGCACGTGGGGGTTGAGTGCCAGCTCGTAGGCTGCTAGTTGGCCAGCTGTCGCTGATGTCTCGTATCCGGCAAACATGTAAAGCATCGTATTGGCCGCGACATCCGTCATTGAGAAAATACCTCGTTGTATTTTACTCTCACCTGAAAATTTACATATTGCATTATGGTCGTGGTATCGCATCAAATTTTGAATCATTATTCGCAGTTCAGCGTATAGGCTGACAAACAAAACTATGCTAACATTAATGGCTGACAAATTCATACCTGTATCATCAATAGAGTCATCATTTTTCAACTCTATTAGTGTTTGTAAGAAATCGTTCCTTTTAAAGTTATTCTTTTGACGGTACTTGACTGTTTGCGTGACTAAATTGTAGAAGAAGTTGACTATGTCAGGATGGATCCGTCTGATTTTCAATTTATTGAATAGGTCCGGTGCAAAAAATGCCAGAGCACGAACTAACGTCCTGTAAATTTAAACATTACACGTTTGAATGTGTACCTTTACGAAAGTGGAATTGGAAAGAGAATTTTAAAAACAGTATGATTATTTAAACTAAAAAATATATGCTGTAAATTTGACTTGAGGTAATTGAAAATATTTAGAATTTATCTGGAAAATATACTTTTTCCTTGCATAGCAAATAAATTTATTATAACACTAGCGGAAATTGGAAAATATTAACTAGTTACAGTTTGTACTTCTTATTCGCGACTCCGTTATCCGCGATTTCAAAATTCGCGGGTTAAATAATTGCGCCCAATTCCCGCATTAACGGCAACATTCTGCTACTCCCAGTTTTCTATAGGATATTATTCTGTCTAATACAGTAGTTTTATAATAGAAAAACTTATTTACTACTTGAATATGTCAACATGCGAATATGTATACAATTTTGTCAATATCTTTATAGCTTAGTCCTTCAATAATAGCCGCCTTATGTTATGGAGTTATTTTATCACAACAAAGCGTACCAAACAATGTCTAGTAACTATAAAAGTATTTTCTTTGTTTGAATAAATCTGAGTACCTTTATACTACGTCAAATTCGTTTTTTTCTAAATCCTGGAATATACATTTACTATCGCACATACGGGGATTATTAGATCGGGGCAAATTTTCGTTACGTTAATTTTTTAAAGCTCGTGAATCGATATCTTACTGTAATAATTTTGACATCTAATTTAGGTTTTTGCAAATCAAATACGTTTCTAGCATATATCAAACAACAATACAATTACAAAGTAATTTATTTCTTGTTGTTTTGCAAATTAATAGACTGTTATGTTCACTTACCAATACAAAGTTTGCGGATTGAAATATTCATGTCCTCGTACATAAAACTCAGAATTCGGATTCTTGAAGCCATTGCACTCAACGCCAAAGCCAACGCTACCAATAATTTCCATCGTATAAGTCTCGTAGAACTTAGAGAAATTTAAAGATTTCCCACTGTCATAGTAAGCATCCGCGTAAGCCAACGCGTCGTTCGCAATATTTTCAACTAACGGATACATTGTTTTGAATTTGCTTGTTGAAAATGACGGCGACATTTTAACTCGTAAATTCTTCCAAGTATTTCCATGTAGGTTGAACAGGTGACCGGCGATCGGATCGCCGACGCCGCCCGAGAAAATCCCGTGAGATTGAAAATGATCGAAGTCCTTTATCAAGACGTGCTTTATTACATCTGGGTCTATCACACACAACACTGGACGATGAAAACAGTACATTCCAATATATGGCAAATGTTTATATTTAAAATAATTATCACAATACGGCTGGAAAAATTGCGCTTTACGAGCGATCACATCCCTCACATTACCGAAAGGCGCCACTGGCTTAGGTCCTAACACACCTTTCCTCGTCCAATACGTATATTGATATTGGAACCAAACATAAAGTAAAATTGATAATGTAGTTATTAAAAGTAAAAATTCTTTGGTCAATAGTTTTAAAATTAGTAAATCCATTGTTAAATTTTTAAGCCACAATATTAACAATCACTTTAAACTTTCGCGCTTTTCAAATTTGCATTAACTCAAAACCGTCCGCTTGCATGTATTGAATCGAGGCGACTAGGCGACTACAAGACGATTGTCGATTTCAAAATACACGAGTTTAAGGTCAAAATCAAACCTCAAGTTTGTTTTAAATATTTGTCAACGTAGAAATCCCTTTCATCTTGAAAGAACTGTTATTAAAACTTGCCCATTTAGTATATAAAATTATTTCATCCAGTTATAACGCAGTTTAAGAACCTTGAATGTTTAAATCTGCGAAAATTACTAACAAATCGGTCAAGTATGAGTGCTTGGACAAACACGTTAATATTACAATGTCTGTCTAAGTAAGAATTCCTACGGAATGAAGACTTCTACAAGTTAAGATAAAGTTTATATACAAATTCAATATTGAATAGTAATTTCCAAATAAAAGTAATTTCGCATTACGGACATTAAAGATGTAATACGGAAGAAAAGGCTATCGCAGAATTACTATCAATTAATGGCATAGATATAAAAATTACATTAAATTTTCCTTAATTTTCGGCATTACTTACAACTGTTTTTTATAAAAAAAAAGGAAATAACATTCTAAAAGCTTCTTTTTCATTTCACAAGGACAAGATAGTCATTCTAATTATTTCTAGCAAGCGTACTGCTGTACAACTGCCATTAGTCATTAAAGAATTTTGTGTTAAATTCCAAGTGAAAAAAATTGTGTCGTTATCACAAAAAGCTATGTTAAATGTACCGCAAATAAAGATAGGTTAAGTTCTTCGCATAAAAAACTCTCAAAGCCCTTAACATTACTCAGGAACTAAAGCTTTCCTATTTCTTTGAGAGCCTGAACCAAATTGCACTCAACACTGTCGAGTCAGTCCGTTAAATGTTCACCTATGCAAATATACCTCGCTTGCCTTACGAATTGTTTAAATATATGCATGAATATCCTTACACTAACAAAATAAAGCTTCATATTACACCTTTTTGATATAATCAAACATGAAATAAATAGCTACAAAAAAGACATTGTTCATTTTTGTAAAATTACTAAATTATACACATCGTTATATTAAAACCATTTATCTTGAAGACAAACATTGAAAAAAATTCTAACAGTGTAAATGTTCATTTTTATTAGATACTACTTATTTTTATTTGCATACAAAAAATGCAAATGACATAAAATCAGGAAACACTACAAGAACAAAACACATTATTAGAGTTTTCGTTGGGGTCAGGATTTTTATTTAAAATTACAATTGGTTCCTATTCGAAAAATAAAAAGTATAAAAATGAAAATGTCACAATCGTACGTAACTGATACATATTTAATTAATCTTTTATTATTATATAATATATTAAAAATATAAAGACGTATGAAAAAATTAAGTAAGTATATTTTCCTTAACTATAACTTTTTTTCTTATATAAATAATACATAGAAATACTTCAAATTCATTTAAACTATTTAAATACTTGTATTTTTTCTTTTCTAAATTTGAATTGGTATCGGTAAACACTTTTGTCCGCACTCAAAAGCTTTTTCAATTATCCATAAGAAGCTCATATCGGGCAAACATTAAAAGGGTCCCAACTGTCAATGCGCCAGCGTCGTTGACTATGACGAAATCACCTCTTAGGGTAGGCTCTGAGCAGTGGGAACATATAGTGAGCTGGTGATGATGATTAACGGGTATGTGGCCTTTTTAATTCATTCTGGTTAGTTCTAACATTTCCTTCCAACACTTCATTTATAAAGTCGAAGCATCATGACCGTCAGAAGAAATTGTATCCGTACTACAAGTACTAAGTGACTCTCTGACTACTTCCCTTCTTAAGTTTACAAGATATTGCAAATATTCAGTAGGACTTCTTATTGGGTGATCACCGTAATATCTATCTAAATATCTTTCATATTCTGAAGCTGCAGTTTCTAAACCACTACAGGTCTCAATTATTTTATTTTCGATATTTCCAAATTCTTTATATTTTGGTTCTCTTCCCTTTTTCAATCTATTTGATCTTTTCCCACTTTGCCACGTCCAATATTTTCCTTTTTTGCTTATATCATTTTGTTCTGATACACTACTTGAATTAATATCCAAGTCTAAATCAGTCTCAAAATCAAGGCAATTATTACAAAGGTTAGCATCTCTAGTACTGTATTTAGGTTGATTTTTGTGCTTGGTCATATCTTTAATGTTAACTTTATTCCAAATAAAAGAATCCGTTTCCATTCTAGTTGAGTCTGAAGTATCAGAATATGGATCCAAGAAATGATTTCTATTAACATAATCATATTTAAAACTCGTTTTATCACATTCATTAAACGTATTAAAGTTGTCGCTTTTCGATTCTTTAAACTTAATAACCCTTTTAACTTCTTTATTTTTGTTTGGAGATAGCGCAATATTGTAAGGATAAGCATTGATATCTCGTCCCAAAATTAAATTTTTCATATCATTATCATCGTAAACTCTTGTAGTATCCACGGTCACTCGTGGTAAAGGCAGGTCCTCATCCGGGAAGTCATCAAGTGTTAAATTATCAAAAACTTCAGTAGTAGAAATAACATCGTCTTTTTCACTTGTAGCTTTTTCAATATTTGCTAAATCATTGTCACTTACTTTAATTGCTTCAACAATGTCTGTGTTATGACTTACCAAAAGATCTGGAGTATTATCCAAATTTTCGCTTTTGTTTTGTGTAGATTCATTGTCAGATTTTTCACTTGAATTCAATGAATCAGAATCAAATGAACAGACTGGGGAAATGTTTATATTAATTACTGAAGGAATTATACAACTATCTTTTGTTTGTTTGCTATTTTTACGATTTTTGTGTAATTTTGTACATGCTGTTGTTCTTTTTCTCCTTCTTGAATGTGGTAAAATTTGAGTTTGAGTACACATACTTCTTTTTAATATAATATCAGTCATAACAGTACTGTGTTTCTTGGCTATCTTTCTAATTTCCATTGTTGTGGATTTATCATAGAAATTTAATGATCCGTCACCGCATGCGACGTCTTTGCATCTTGGTGTCAAAGGAATAGTTTCTGTAGCAGCATCCTTATAAAATATTTTTGTGTCATGTTTGAGTACAATAAATGGTGCAAGATCAGTTTGAGCATTAATTCCTTGATCCTTAACTCGAATAACAACTCTTCTTGTTTGTGTGTGAGCCGGTATACCGATTCTTTTCTTATTTCTTATTGCTTTTTGACTCAATTCCAAAAGGCGCTGACGAGCATTACTACAAATCTTTAATTCACTTAAAGGTGGCATCGTCTTTCTCTCTGCCGTAGAATCCACTTTGTTAGCTGCAGCATCCTTTTTAAATTTTGAATACAACCTTTCTGTGACAGATGCAATAATTTCTGCTCTTTGATTGTCATACAAAATTGATACAGGAGAACTCTTGTTTTCGATAGCATGTTTAATTTTTTCTTCGTCTTGCTCTTTATGATTTCGGGAATAATCTGGCAATTTTTCATTATTTTCATTAATTAAAGACCCGTCCACTGGCAATACCTCTTCGGAACAGTACTGTCTTTTCTTATGTCTTAGTGGCGTAATATCTAAAACACTGCCGCTTTGTGTTCTTTCTAACATAGGACCGAAAAATTTGTCTACTTCTTTGTGAATTTCATTATCTACTTTGGTTTTATTATCCAAATTACTAAGAACATCCAAACTTCCGATCACAGCTGCTGTAGATTCCGATTTTGGAGGGTCAGTTTTTGGATATGTATTCATAATGTTGCCTATTTTTGCTTCTTTTTCTAATTTATCGTTGTTAATATTCGAATTTAATTTCCAGTGATCATCATCGTACCATATTTTTCCAGATTCCGGTACCTGGAACAGAAATGGATATTTTATTTATGACTAACATACGCTACATACATTGAGACGTTGCTTTACCAGGCATGTGGTTAAGAACGTTTACATACATCTTTTTCTACAAAATTGTTAAAGTAAAAATTGTATGAGACATAATTACATATCGTATATGATGTCTACTGAGTTCAGAGAGCAATTGATTGAGTTGTGCTTGCAGAGCAGTCCTTGTAGTAACTCCTGCGACTGGTGCCGGCTTTGGTGTCTGCAAGCGACGCGCCTGAGCCGCCCAGCGGAGTGTCGATGCCGACTCGCCGTAGCACGCGAAACTGGGTGATACCGCTGGAGACATTCATTTATTTTACCATACAATTCTCAAATAAATAATGGCCAGTTTAAGTGAAAATTAGGATAAAATTATAGCAGAAATTATTGATCATAAGATAGTTTTTAATTTAGTTAAAAGGATTAAAAATAAATAGTTTTGTGTCAGGTTTTAGGATTGCATTTCTGATATTTAGATCGCCGATAAAGCGAAGAAAATAAAAACAGAATTAGTTCGACCTTTAGAGTACCTTATTTACATCTTCGGTTGAACATTTTTGACAAGTATTAAAATCATTTTATCAATCGTGTAGTACAATAACCTTGTTAAATGTTACGATCATTATAACACTTAATATTAGTCATTTTTTTTTCTATGAATAATCATTTTGATTATACGAATTCATGCGCTTTCAATTATATAAGACCTTCACAGTAAAGACAATAATATCATTAAAGATTCTTGTATGTAAACATGTAAACAAATCAAATGTAAGTTCAAGAAAACATATACCTAAATATTTAATTAATCATACGAATATATTATTCAACGTATTTAAGTAATATATATATATATATATATATATATATTTATATATTATATAAAAGAAAGTCATGTAAGTTACACAATTTATAACGTAAGAACGGCTTTACCGATATGGCTGAAAATTGGTGAGGAGGTAGCTTAGAGCCAGGAGACGGACATAGGATACTATTTATTCATTTTTTTTTATATATCCACGCGGACAGAGTCGCGGGCGACAGCTAGTATAATTTAAATTAAACATGCTACAAACAACCAGCTGAATGCATTTTTTCTTCATGCCCGTATTCTGTAGAGCTCTAGACTACTACTACTTCCGAAAATATTGGATACGAAATACCAATTCTTGGACTCTTTTAACAATTGTTTTCTAATAAATTCCAACGTTTAATTATTCTTCTAAAGCTCTAACAATATTACCGTGGGTTTAACATTACCGAATTCGTATAAAAATGCAGGTGTAACATGTTTTGTATAGATATTAGAACAATGAAAACGCATCGTTATACTGTATGTGCATTCTCTTGAAAATTGTTTTATTTAATATAGACCTTCTATATTATAACATTTGTAAAAATAAATCTGGTTTGACCATGACACCGCTATGCATTTGTCCGGCGAACGGGTTAGAAATTATTCGCCCTTGTTGAGTGTTAACGACAAATAATTTGATTACATCTATCCTTAGTCATGTTCATTTATTAATTAAAAGGAAGGATCTTAGATCTAAATTAATTTAAGAAATTACAAGTAAATAAATTACAGTATCACCTTGTGCTAGATATTTAAAAGCAATCGTATAGTGTAAACTTACTAGCAATAATAAAAATGCTGCCTCCGCCGGTAAAACAATCTTTCAATAGCCACGTTAAAGCCGAGTCTCGATACGGCACGAATTTACTTCTTCCACTTCCTCCGTTCACTGAAAAAAAAAGGTTATAAACAATATTCTTACTAGTAATTATCAAAGTTAATACAATACATACCTAAGGCTGAAATAACATTACTGAGTGCAACTAAGGATTTGTTAATATTTGCGCCTTCCTTTTGTCTTCCTCCGCCACAGCCCTCCCAGCTTGCTTTTTCACTGAAAAATAATATACATACATTTTTTTTCATTTATGTGTAGTATGGCAAATTTTTTGAAAAAGTTGCCAGCATTATTTTCTCTTTAATAAATTCAGCTACAGCCTAAATATTTGTGAAGAATACAAACAGTGCTTGACGAAGATTCCATCTTGTATTATGTGGTTATGAAGAAGAAACCCTCTCGCTAGTTAATTAGGACCTTATTCAGTCTACTCTCGAAAGCACCCATTGTCTCACCTGCCAGCTAAATCGGCGAGGTGCAGCGTGGCTCGCTGTGTTGTAAGCTGCAGCAAAGCATGCGAGCGCGAGGAAGCAGGGTTGCGGCGCGTGGCTGCAGTACGTCGTCGCCTTGCGCCCTCACACACCAGCGACAACAGGGTGCCCACGTCACGCACGCAAACGCGACGGAGATCTACCCAATACATCATGATTAAAATTGTACCACGGCATAGTTCATCCATACAAGTATCAGTGTCTTTATTTGTTAAGAAAAGAAAACGTTAAACGATGTTTTGGATCAAAGAATAGCAATCTAAAAAAAATACATCGAAAGAGAAGTAACTGGCTCTTTCCAGTCTGGTCAGAAAAGTAAAACTTTAACAGAAATATACCGGTATCCCATTTATGCTGATAGTATCAAGACATAGATTATTTCGAAGGTGTCTATGTTTTTTTTTAATGTGGTCAAACGTAGCGTATGCTTTGTAAAATTCTAATTAAGTATAGCGAGTTGTTTTTATGATTCGAAAGAACAACATCATAAATGTTTTATACTACAAGGATTTGACCTTATGGAGAATAGAAATATCATAAGTTCTATGTCAAAGCCAATTGGATAATACAACTGCAAGCAACAGCGTCTTTAATCTGTTAACAATGTACACATTGCACACGTTTACTTAACATTGGGTCGTCTTTTGCGAAAGTCGATACAATCTGTAATCGTTCTACGTAGTCTTCCTTGAGCATTGCTACCAAGTTACGCCATTAGTTTTCTATTAAATTGTCAACATTGTTAATGTTACAGTTACAGTCCACTCAAACGTAATATTCGACTATATATAAGGGGAAAAAACTGGCCAACCGATAAAATGCAGCGCAAACAATTACTTTGTTACAAAGAAAGTTATAATATTTTGCAGGATACATTAAGCAAGGTAGCTCGACCAATTAATGTCGTGTAGTGTCACATGTATATTGCGAAATATTTTAATGTTACTTGCTCGTGAAAATGTCTTTAAGCGGTCGTAGAAATAACGTAACTTTAAGTGCTTCATTTCATGTTAGTTTTCAAGATACACTAAATTTAAAAACAGTACCTTCTCGAAGGCAATCACGCTGGCTTAGTACAGCTTGTTTGATTATACACATTTAAATGATTATCGGATATAGTCATTGCAAACTAGCTGTACGCCTACGATTACGTCCGCGCAGAATTAAAAAAAAACATAATTAGTAACCTATGTGTTTATCCAGACTATGTTTTATATATGCCAAATTCGAGATCCGCCTCTCTAGAGATACCTTCAAACAAACATCCATCCATCCATCCCTTTATAATATTAGTAAGAAGTGTGATTAAGTTCTAATTATAAGTTGTTGTAATTTTTAGCTTTTATCTAGATAAAATCTCTGAAGCGCTTAGGCTTCTTAATATGGCGTTAGCTCCATAACATGAGTTTACCACTTTTTGCCATTAAAATACAAGTTAAGGTATTCTATGGAAATAACAAATGCATTGACTATTGCATTACAAAACCACAAGTAACGCCATTTTGTTATTGTTAGTCGTAACACGTAACATTAGGTGAACGGCCTACTTGTCTAGTCATTTAATGATGCAAAAATATACGATTACGTCGTAACTACGTCATCACAATACTCTGATCACATTTCTCGCTCTTTGATCTATAATCAACTAGCTGTCGTTTGCGACTCCACTTTTCCACGTTCCATGGACAGCCAACAGGTAATGTTTTGACTTCATCCTAGCGAAATTAATCGATTTGAAGACTGGTAATTCAGGACCGTTTGATTTTCGTAAGAACTAGTATTAATGTATTTAATATTATAAATATAATCTGAAAATACTTACTTTGTACGTATGGTCCTTTGGTAGGATGTTCTCTGACGCGCAGATCCTTCCGAGCGTTGCCCTTGCGTCGAGGCAAGGAGCCGAAGGTATCCGCGACTGGTATCACGTCGCCCGCCAGCAAGTCGTGCACTCGCTCGTTGTATATCTCCAAAAAACTATAAAAATTATAACGTTATCGACAACTTTTTTACAAATTCACGAGAACAAAAGAACTCTGTAACACAGATACAAAATAATCTGTCAATCTTCAAACGCCTTAACAAATCTATACCGAATGGTAAAAAATTTTAAAAATAATTGTCAAATTAACGATCTAATTTTAACCACTGAACTGACTATCGATATTAAATCTTAAATCTTGGTTATTAATTAAATTAAAATCGGATAATTAAATTACACTTAAACTTTATAACTAGTATTCTTGAGAATTCATCACTTCTAATGAAGCGTCCAATTGCAATCGAATTATCATACCAACTAAAATAATCGCAATTGTATACCTATGGAATTATAACAATAACAACCCATTCAATACGTTACGCCATTGAACAATGACCTAATAAAATTACCAATATTGAATCAGAAAGGACCTTTATTGGTGATAGTTATTAGAACATATAATAATTATAATATACATAAGGTTATTTAATTGTTAAATTTTAAAACATAATAGTAATTTTTAAAAAGACCCCACCACCTTGTGGGATGCAAGCTAAGCTGAGAGAGAGAGAGAGAGAGAGAAAACTTTGAGAATAATATCTTTATTTTCACTTTATAAACTTCTTATATTAAACATGTGAAACTCCAAATAAAATAACGACAAATTAATTTAAATAAACTCAAAACTATTAAACAAATAAAAAGCCTTTCGATAATAAAAAGCTCTTCTCTCAAATACAGCTATATAAAAAAGATTCATGCATTCTTTACTTAATACCTATATTTAAAATTAGCTTTTATATTTGTGTTAAGTTTACATTTTATTACGACAACGACACTGACTTTGTTCGCGTCGAGTCTGCTGACAGTAAAATTGTGAAACAAAAACTAGATTTGCCACAGAATGTCACTTATTTCACAATATTGACCGCGAACGGACACGTATGCTGTTAACCTTAAGGTCACTACAATATAAGTAATTAAAAACGTAAAATATATTTTTTATCTGTATAACTTCCTTTATGAAGGCTACCCTTATATTTTTCGAGACAAAAAGTACATGTTACAATTCCTTCCAATCAAACGTTTAAGGAAAACTTTAGTATTAGTTCTTAATGTTAGCTAGGAAAATGACATCAGTCACATATTTAAAACAAACTTTATACTGTTTACCAAGTTATTAAACGAATTAAATTGCCACCAAAACTGATATGATAAATGAGCACAATAATATTCGTAAACGACTATTTAATAAACTTCTAACGATTAAACTTTGTGTTTGCGCTATTTGAAATTTTGCAAGAAACTAATTAACGACCTGACGGGGGTACCGTTTAACTAAATTGGTCTATTTTACGATGAGAATTGACGACAAATTACAGCAAGGCCCGCACTTAAAAGTAGCTGTCATCATTGTGTTCCATATTCAATCTTTTGACACATCGCTTTTTTAATCGACAGTAAAAAAAAAATCTAAAATGTTTCAGCAGTGCGAACTTAAAGCCAAGGATATGTATATAGAATATGATGGATAGAAGAGTAGTAACCAATCAAAAATTATTTAGAATCTAAGGTATAATGTTAGGCGGCGGAGAGAAGACGTTGAGCTGGAAGGGTGAGGAGTGGAGCAACGCGGTAAAGCCTAACGCTGCGATTTTATTTTGTTTAATTTACCAAGCATATTCTATCATTTTTAAAGAACAAAAACCTTTATCAAAACAAACAAAGACTTTTGTATCTCTACAACGCTCAATACAAACAATGGCTAGGGAATAAAACGTAAAGCAGACGATTTCGTGAGGGATGGTGACGACACCCCGACATTATTGTCACAATAAAAAAGTCATTCGTGTCTTTCACACCATTTTATAACTTCAAAGTTTACGTTTCTTTTCTTTATAAAATCCTTATAATTCGTTCTTTTTGATATGATTATTTATAACGATATTACTTTAAAAAGATTAACCTAATCAAGAAACATACTTTACAATTTTAATAAATATTATTTAATTACGATTTAAAACTCATATTAAATTGTTAATCATATAAAATTAACCCAAACAATTATTTAAATAAGAAACATCGCATTTTTAATAATCAAAGAGAGACATAATGTCAAAAAAAATATTATAAATAATTAGTATTACTTTGTAAACCATAAATATACTTATAAGTTAATAATCATTTCCTGGATTAAATAAAAAAAACTCACTGTTTCGTCGGTAACAGTTTAGGGCGGGCGGCGCGGCGGCTCGTAGGAGACTGAAACGATGGGTGCTCGTGATCCGAGCAAGACTGAAGCCCTACTAGTTAGTACTATTGGACATGGCAACCTCCAACCTCACGCCACCTTTTCGGATGTCACCTTCTGTCACTTATATATACTTAAGTAACTTATTCATTTGTAATTTATTGTAATATAACGTTATCTCATTTTTTTCAATCATTTTTGGGGTCATTAAAGTAATTACAGGCCATTAAATAATCAAACCGTGTCTGTCTGTACGCAATAAAATCAAAAAGCTTAGCCGCATTATTCAAATCGATAAAGGCAATATCGTAGGCATACTAAGTATAACTAAACTAACTGCAATATTAATAAAAAAAATATTATTAACTAATATAAGGAAGTCAACCAACCCGCACTTGGCCAGCATGGTTGACTATGGCCTACTTACCCATAACCTAGGGTAGGCTCCGAGCCCCTTGGTGGGGTCGTATAGTGAGCTGATAAAGAAAAAAATAAAAAGAAAAGATTTTACTGTTGGTTCCACTATTAAACAACGCTCAAAACAAAGATCTAATCGATTACTAACGAATTCAAACGTACGCATTGCTAATTGTTGTTATGTACAGTCAGCGTCATATAGATCGTAACAGACAAGATATGCAAATATATAGGTACATCAAAAGTAATCAATTATATCGGTACAACAAAAGTCCTCAAAATAATAGATACATTCACCCTGCTCAAAAACATCGGTACATACACAGCGTCAAATATATGAGTACATGCAAGATGCTCATAAATATCGTAGCAGCCACAGCGTCATAAGTAACGAAGCAGGCAAGGTGCGCAAAAATATCGGTACAATTGACAAAATTGAACTCTATCTCTATATACTTGTGATACAATTTGGAATAAACTACTTCTGTTACATTCATTTGACACTTTGTATTAACATTATAGGTTGTCCGGAAAGTTCGTTCTGATTTTCGATATAAAGCTTACAATAGACTGTAGCTGAAGTGGATTCATTTTCGGATTTCCACCATTATCAAACGTCACGAAAATTTCTATATTGTGAATAATTTCATTTCATTGGTTAAGATAAAAACTAATTTTTAAAATTTTATCCAATAATAAAAGACGTTTTAGGTATAGAGTCGTACCAATATAATTTAAAAACATTTCCAAAAATTTAAGAGAACAGGGTTTCAATTTTCCTTATAAAGCGGCACGAACTTACTGGGCAACCCAATATTTTTCTTCTCCTGTCATAACGCTTAAATATATTATAAAAGTTTGTCACGCCGAATATGACAGATACGTCATAACTAATATCAAATTTTGTCTTGTCACAATATATACAAGTTTGGCGCAGTATTCTAGTATGTTTGCCGTAATATGTAAGTTTACCGGTTCGAATCTCAGGCTACTTTTTTTTTTCATTTTATCAATCACGGGGTTATTTTTTCATAACCAGTAAAAATTTGGTAATGTAAAATTTTGCTCGACAATTTTTTTTTTATAATTTTCGCTGTCGGGTAGAAAGAAATTTAAATAACGTTAACAACAATTAGGTCAGACCATCGCGGGTGAAGTGAGTGGGCGGAGCGCGGATTGTCATTGCGGGTTTTATGAATGGTACGCGCGGAAACTATACGTACAAGTGTTATCTACATATGTGCGCGCGCCCACGCACACTGGAATTTGATGTAGTCACGACCAAAAATTTGATGTAGTTTGAATATTGACATTCAGTTTTTTTTCTTTCTTTCTTAAATATAATCAGTATCAGTAAAAGGTAGTGTTATTTTTACCGGTACAAGTTTAACAAACATGAGTAATAAACAAATTACATGCCACTAGCATCGCTTTATCTCCTTCATTTTTGTTTGAAATAGAAAAGTACTTTAACGGTTAAACTCATTAGTCCAAAGCAATATCAAAAAGTACCTAATAACTACGGCGATAAAGTTGAATTACATGTGCTTCGATATTAAAATTAAAAAGTTTAAATATATAAAAAAATAGTGGCTTGGGATTTGAACCGCCGACCTTACGTACCAACGGCGGCGAACGGTAAGGCTACGAGACCAAACTAGCATATATGATGACAAACTTAAAATTGATGTTGGTTTTATCTACCTAATATCTGTCATCCGCGTCGAACACTTTTAGTAAATTTTGAAAAATGGTTTGATGCAAAGTGTCAAATGAATATAACAGAAGTAGTTTATTCCAAATTGAATCACAAATATATAGAGATAGAGTTCAATTTTGTCAAATGTACCGATATTTTTGCGCACCTTGACTGCTTCGTTACTTATGACGCTGTGGCTGCTACGATATTTATGAGCATCTTGCATGTACTCATATATTTGACGCTGTGTATGTACCGATGTTTTTGAGCAGGGTGAATGTATCTATTATTTTGAGGACTTTTGTTGTACCGATATAATTGATTACTTTTGATGTACCTATATATTTGCATATCTTGTCTGTGACGATCTATATGACGCTGACTGTACGTTCATACATACATAGCTGTTTATAACGAACGGTATGGTACTAGGTTATAAAACCATGTAAGAAGATATCGGTAAGATAAGCTAGGGTAGTTGCGTGGCTAGGCACTATGACCTTGGATGGCTGAAAGTTTTTGCTGTCTTTATTACTTCATTCTACTTTGATCGACTACGGCTACAGAAAAAAGTAGGTGTTGATTTTTAAACGGCCAAGTTTTTCGCTTTACGTCGTCGATTATTTTTTATAGTCTTTCATTTAAACTTAATTATAGGAAGTATTCCTTAAAAATGTTAATTTTTGCCCAGTAACTTATTTAAATTTATTTTTTAAGATACTATTCGAGTATATTTTTTAACTTTAAGTTAATTAGACAATGCTTCTATACCACCGTATTATGTAGAAGTTAATACCCTGCTTTTAAAGTTAGGTGTATGCTGTCCCATGTTAGAAAAAAAAGCAATAGATGCTACTTGCATTAATAGGATGTTTTTACATTTATAAATTGTCGTCTACTAAAAAGACGTAAGTTGAAATTTAAAGTCAAACTTAATTTAACTACAAATCGTACACGAGTCCTGTCTGTTAAATGTTTAAAAATATCCCATTATCATTATATTCATAATATTTGCTACTGTGGTAATAAAATAGATTCACCGACCGAACTAACATTTAAGTAATAGCGTACCTGTAGTTTGGTATTCAAAATACAAGATAAAGAAAAGTAAATTGTTTTCGCAATACAATGCATATAGTGTGAAGACGCTATGGTTATTGTTGCAGCGCACGCGATGCCGGGGATCTACTCGTATCTACATATTGCCGTTCATTGGTAATTTTATGGCGCCAGTAATCGTTTTATTCAACACGTAACGCATGTTTTTTTTACTTAACACATTCCAGTATTATGAAAATCAACAGCTGATAAAAGGATACAAATAAAATTTTGTGCCTGTGCTTATGAAAGTATTCGTAGGTTCTCATGAGGACAGCTTTAACTGAAGAAAATTCGAACCATACCCCCTTTGTAGATTCCCCGAACCATCTTTTCGTCATTCCAATGTTTTGCATTAAAATAAAAAATGGTTTTTAAATAAAATCTCATTTAAATCAGATGCACATTAACATTAAGGTTTTAATCATGCTCAAAACGTAATTTACCTGACATTAATATCAACGGGCTGTTCATCGCCGAGAGCGCGACAAAGTCGTGGTATCAGACCAGGGTTGGACTCTGTTCCCATCATGGTATACGTCTTTCCAGTTGCGCTCTGACCATAAGCAAGCACGCACGCAGACAAACCTTGTGACATACTCGCCAACACTCCTTCTCCGATAGATTCAAATATCTTACAAATAAAAAAAAATATTTCTTGTAACCTCTTTCTCTTTCTCCCAAAATGATTAAAAAGGTTTTTAAATCTCTAGTTATTCATATCACATAAAACTGTACCTTTTCTTGAGTAGCATACGCATCATTTGTTTTGTGGCAGGAACTGTCGAAAGTAAAATCTGCGTAGTAAGGACGCACTCGCTCCCTGCTGTCGCCTGCGCCTGAAGTGTTTACCTGAGCAAAGTTGCAGCATCAAAATGTGTAGTGTGCTATCGACTGCTCAAAAAATAACAGGCACAATAATTAAACACTATCAAAATGATGCTTCCGTTTCTGTTTGTCATGTATTTTTTGTTGTATAACAAATAGTCTATAAATAAAGGAAAATAATCGAAATTATATATTTGGGAAAATAATATAAAATAATTTCACTTACTTTTATATTTGTTATTGTCACTGTGTTCACTCCGCTAACACACACAACCGCATCCTGATCTTTATCCGTTTTAAGTTCCCTGAAAAATGAGTAATATTAAAATTACAAACACAAATTTAAAACTCAATTAAATGTAAATAACCAACTAACTTCTCAGTAAACGGTCTGATTCTTATGGCTAATTTTACTTTTGCCATGTCAACAAAAAGGAAATAATTTTTAAATAATGTATTCGTTGATTTTAAAACAATCTTTTTCATACGAAACCGCGTTCAGAATGGGTAAGTTTATTTGTCAAAGTTACGATCTTCCTATGTTTGTCCCACGAAGTTATTTTAAACACAGCGGGAGGGGATTTCCTGCGCCTGTTCTATCTTAAAGTTAAAAATAAGTCTCTGTGATGTATAAATTTGGTAAAAATGTTACATAGATTTCATTGCGTAAAATGAAATATCTTATGAGTAGGTATCATCGAGATAACTTACATTCGGCAAGGATCATAATGATAACAATAACAATTTTGTCAAATCTTTTAGTATATTGAGGACCAACAACTAACAAAGAAACTAAATGCATGAAACTTAATTTTAAATATAAATGTAAGATGATAATTTTTGAGAGTAGCATAGAAAACTAGGACTAAGTTAGAATCTAAAATCTTGGTTTTATTCGAAGAGATAAAAGCAGGAAAAGATAAGATGTAAAAATATAACAAAAAGTTCCAAGAAATAAAATAAAATTTTCTGAACCTTACATAAATATTCATATTTTTTTGTTTATAGCCTATATTTGCAGATTGGCAGATTTGGTCTTTAGCATTTTTGACAATAACAATCAAAGAGTATATAAAATAACATGATAACAATTGACATTGACAGTTCACTTTTGTCTCTGTCCATTTTTTGTGTCTTATCTTCAAATACGAAAGCAAAGTTTCTTTAATATAAAAATACGTATTACTTGCTACATTACATTTGTCTGTGACGGTTTTCAGCAATTGTTTACTTCTACAGCCGCTATTTAATGAAGTGCCATTTACTTTAAGAATCGGTGTTAAAATTACAAAGGTATATATATATATTTTACATGTACTTGCACAAACTTATAATTTTTTTAACTTTTTGTAACTACACTACTAAATGATCATTTCTGTACTTTAATGTAAACTTTTCTTTTTATTATATAGCATAGGTCCAGAAATTTCTAGGGTGAATGCAAAAGTTATGACAACTTAATTAAATATAGTATAGTAAACATCTCAAACGTGACCTTTGCTTGTGTTTCTTTTTTGCTTTCGGTGAAGCTTGGAAGCTGCATATACATGACATTTTACTGACCTCAGTTAAAGTTATTAACCAGTTTTTCAAGAAATAAAACTAAATGTCTTGCTAATGTTCTATTAAAATTATTAAACTATAACAGCAAATAACAACTTTTTGTAAAAAAAAAAGTGATTATTCATTATATCATCATGTATTTTATGAATGTAAAAAGAATACGGTTGGACCTGGATAAATGAGAAATCTTTATAAGAGAGATTCATTGTCTGGTTCCAACAGAAAACCTACCAAACCTCTATAAGTAAGAAGAATATCACTGTATTCTTATTTCTTCAGGCATAAATCCTGTGAAGTTAAACTGAAGCCTTTGTGCAGATTTCTTTACATTAAAATACAGCACAAGAAAAATAATGAAAACTCTAAAGAACCAGATCTTCCATCTTGAAAACATTAACATGTCTAAAAATATCTTATTTTTGTACTTACAAATAAATTATTCTTTTCAACATTTATCATGCAATCTAACAATTATCTTGTTCAATCACATTCCCATTGTTACCTATTATTGTTATGTAAAAACTAATTCCTCAAAGAAAATAACATTTTTTATTTGAGCTAAACTTTTGTTATTCACTTATTAATGTTCTTAGAAGATGCTCGTCAGAAATTTATCACGGAGGCTGTGGAGTACAGTGCGATATGAAAAAAGGTTTCTTGCTTCGGATCCAGCAAAACCACAGCCTGAAACCAATGATGGAGTTGAACAAAATCAGGTAAATGTATAAACTAAAAATCAATGTTTGTTTCTTATGAGTTCCTAAGTTTTTATTTTTATATTTTAGGGCATGCTAAGACTTAATAAATTTTCAATGGTAAAAAAAAATTGTTTTAATTTTTTCTGTTTAGGCTGAAGCACTAGATAAAGATATATGTCTGTTAGTGGATGAGAAGGACAACTTTATCGGTACAGCAACAAAACGTGATTGTCACAAAGTGGCTGCTGACGGTAGTGTGTTATTACATCGTGCCTTCAGTGTCTTCCTATTCAATAAACGTGGAGACATGCTGTTACAAAGAAGAGCCAGTCAAAAGGTATTGTTACGTACTATATTTATATACAACTTTAGAAATTAATTAGGCATAGTGTTGCTAAATGTCTTATTTTTAGGTCACATATCCAGACTATTACACAAATGCGTGTTGCAGTCACCCGTTGTACATAGATGATAAGCCTGAGGAAATCATAACAGCAGCAAGGCGTAGGCTAAACTTTGAATTGGGAATTCCTCTAGATCAGGTATGAATTAAAAAGTACTATTGTTGATTTCAAAATTAACTTTCCTTCATGTATTTTGTTTATTAAAACAGATGGATCCAGAACTGTTTACATTCCTAACTCGGGTTCACTACCATGATCCGGGCGATGGCGTTTTTGGCGAGCATGAGATAGACCACATCCTCTTCTTCCAAAGTGACGTCAAGGTCAAACCCAACTCCAATGAAATATCCGAATATTGCTACGTGCCCAAGAATGAATTCAATGCGTGAGTTTGATTATCTCAATTTTAAGTTACAATTGACGGAGGAAAGTGCCGGAGGTCTAATTTTAGTTCTCTTTCGTAAATTGATTTGACAGAGGAAGGGAAAATTGTCTCTTTAGAGGAGGGGACGCACATAGAGAGTATATTTTCCCTTTCTATGTATCTCCTCCCTCGGGAAAGGTTATAGGGTAGGTATATCTATATAAGCAGTCGGTTCAGGTGAATTCAGGTGGCCGCCTATTGGGTTGCCACTACCTTTGGACATACGGCAGATTTATATTTTTTTGTATATGTTGAAGTTCGGTGGCGAACAATTTTCTCGTTACTTTTAGCCTTGTCATTTTATGGATTACCTTAAATTAGTACCTTTGTTAGTGTATTCATGACTTCCATGTTACAGATTAAATATCTTGTAATTTGTCTTACAAAACTATTTAATGGAGAACATATTTCATTGTGTCACGACCTCTAAGCAAGCGATAAAGAATTTGCATATTTGAATACACGCACAAAAATAGAACAAAAAATCATTGCATTTATTTCAACACTATAGTGTGATTGCATAGATAAAATCTCGTAACTACATAATCCACAAAAAACATATGGATTGCGTAAACACCTACGAGCGCCTTGTTACATAACCTAGATCTTACGTCTTAACCTAAAAAAACCTATGTTAGTCGTCATAGTCGTAGCATCAAATACATTGTAGTCCAAGTGAAAAGATTACTTGTAGCAATTTATTCTACAACTAGATATTTTATAATATTTGTAAAATTAGCAAGAAGTATTTGATGGCATCAATGTCTTGCAGATTTATTCCGACATTGGAAGGCCCATTGACTCCTTGGTTCAACATGATCCGCCGCCATCGCTTGAAGCTCTGGTGGGATAATCTGCATCGCCTCAAGGAACTCGCAGAACCTGACAAGATAAACAAGTTCCTAAACGAAAAGTAATTGTCAAAATTGCGGCAACATTTAGTTTAGAAAAATAAAATATTAATGTATCATTTGTAATGTTAAGGAGCTGGCATTTCTTAGGTTTTCCGGATAATTTATTTATGATTTCATTTATTCAATAAAATATTCACATTTTATTTCTATCTACCCTCATGTTTGTTACGTCTAATTTTTCAAGAGATATAAATTAAAGAAAACGGTGCTTGAAATTGTGTTTATTTTTTTTCAATTTATAATTTACATTCGACGTAAAATTAAACACATAAAAAACAGCCAGTCAAATGTCTCGCAAGGAAAATATTTTTTTAAATGTTTTCCTGTACTATAAAAATTCGTTGATTTAAATTCATTCGAAAATTGGTTTCAATAACTCATCAGAACTGTCGGTGGAGCTCAAGTATCTCCGTAACGCCGGCTGTGAGCTGCCAGTCACCCATTGCAGTGTTCGTGTCTGTTTCGGCTTCTTCTTTCTAAACGCCTTCCTTCTAGAATATACGGTCTGCTGAATCTTTGTATCAGTCGCTGAACGCAGAAGATACGCGTAGCAAGTTATTTGATTTCCACAATGCAAACCGTTTTTATACGCAGTGTGCAAATAACGTACCGCAATCACTTGTAGAATCTAGAAAAGTATTAGGTATCCTAGAAACTATAGAAATTGATCGATTATTATAAAAATGCTAGTTAAAAGATTTCATCGTTAATCAGTCTTTATTGAACGGTTTATTAACGAAAAAAATTCAATCAGTAGAGAGAGGAGTTTTACAAAACAATTTTTTATTTACGTTTATGTAATTACTAAAACGAACCATTGTTATAATGATCAAGGACATCACCGCGTTAAACCTCCACGACACAGACATCATCTCGTATATTAATTTCTCTTCGCAACCTTCCGACCATATGGTTAGTTGTTTCTGTAAGTTATTTACAAATCTAAAACATTGATTATATTGACGCAATCTTAAGTATATTCAACCGAGATAAGGTTTTTTTTTAACATAACGTATCTAAAATGTAACTTATGTAACATCTAATGTTCATGCGGACAAGAAAACTGTAGGTAAGTTATTTTGACGCGAAAAGTTCATAAACAAATTCTGATCAATAAGGATTCGACTTCCTAATAAGATATTATTTTAAAGTAACAGACCGACGCGTGGCTCCTGAAGGAGTCCTCAAGGTTACTCTTAAACTAAGTTTAAGCTAAGCGCCGTCTACGCCCAGTAAATCTGCATTAAATTCTTCTTCAAGGCAAACGGTGACTACTCAATCACAAAATATAGGATTAGGTTTTATTCATAGGATACTAAATAGAAGCATACGCGTGTTATAATCATCTTAGAGTTCAAGTTCATTACGTCACAAATATGATCCTAATTATTAAAATCCCTTTCTAATTACCTACAACTTGTACATATTTTTATTGCTTTGAATATATTTGTGAAAACAACAAGCGTCAACGAACCGCAGGGTCGTATTTATAAATAACTCCTCGATGTGAGACGCCGTGGTGTATGCAGGGAGACATTACGTCCTTGGAGCAGCAACTGTAGGGGACGTTGTCAGCAACGAATCTATTACTTGCCCTGTAAAGTATCCATAATTTTTACAAGTAATTGGCCATATATTGCCAACTAAATATGTCATACGCAGCAGATGCTGTACAAATGGGTCGACATGAAAATACGAGTACCACGACCTTCTTAAGTACAGACGTTTAGTAGATGATCTTTGTACTGTGCTAGTCTAATGGATTAGATACAGGCCAAATATAAGTATAATTTCCCCACCCTGTCCCTTTCTATAATGTAGCAAGAACATCGAGTAAAAAGAATGAAAGAAGTGTAATTAAAACTGGTTCGATAAGTTTCTAATCGCAATAATCAATAGTAATTGATATTTAAGCGAAAAATAACTTAGTTATTATTTTGTTATTAATAGTTTCACTAATTAATAACAGTAGGTGAAAAATGAAGACTACGATATGAGTTGTAATAGAGACGGGAGTTAAATTCAGATGAGTCAGAAAGTTGAGACAAAGCGCCGGTCGTGTACAAATCAGCTTTGAACAGGTTGAAAAGTTCAGGTCAAGTAAACTTGAACCGTTGAACTGGCTTAACAACTAAATAAGCAGCTCATCACGACGCATATATGTACATACTATAACTATGTAAGCGAGTTGCCTAGTGACACGCAAATCGTAACTGGAAACTCATATTAAACATCTCTTCATAATCAATAATCTTAACTCAATACAAGTACAAATTTTCCCTTACACAGCATTAGTAGCTACACTTTCTTCGGTGGTAAACCAAGGAATATAGAACCACTCCTGGTAGTCCACGCGACCACAGCAACGAAATCTTGTCTGAAGCCTATCTATTGCTACTTTCGAAGGCAAGTGACTTGCGTATCTTAACATAGCTTTAGTAATTCCACCTTTGATCTTAGCTACACAAAAAGAAAACATAAGATATTAAAAAAACTTTTATAACTTCTATTTTATACATTGTGCCACCATAACAAAAATGTTACCATTTGTATGTATATGATAGCGCTAATCATTCTTACCTCGTAATATAGTCGACTGTAAACCAGAATAAAACATTATGGCCAGAAAAATAAGAATCATAACAATCAAGGCCCAAATATAGTAAAATAAGCCATTGGTGACATTGTATTCCCTTTTCGGCAGTCCGGCTTTAAAAAGTTGATACAAGCCATATAGCTGAAACCAAGGCGCGAAAGCACTCAAAATCAGAGTCGCTTTCAAGACAAGGAAGTATAGCTAGCTACTGAATAAATATTATTATGGTGATGATGGAAATATATTTTAGAATTATCATTACCTCAATAACGACTGCTATAATAGATCCGCAGGCTATAATAACAGGAATCGCATTACCATCGGGCCAGCATATAAGATCCAAAAGGGTTCCTTCTTCACTTCGTATTCCTTCAGAAGTATTTACTAACCATATTAAATAAAAAATTACAATTGGCATGCAAGCCATCAGAAGCATTCTTACATTGTTAAAAGTCGCCCACGTTACATACATCGTTAAGTTTAAATATTAAGTACTATATGAGCCGTTTAATTTCTTAAATAATAATTTTATGATGACTTTTGACAAATACTTTGCTTTCGACAGGTTTCGGTAAAATTATTCCTTTTAATTTTGAAATAAAATGTACCAAAGCCAGGCAACACTGTAATGATTTGACAGTTATTGGTTTTTGACACTTTGATCTTTGACACTGTTATCAATTCCATTGTTTTTGCTTTTATCATTGTTGAGTCAATCGTATTGGCTATTTTGATAAATTTAACGCTAATAAGATGATGTATTTAGTAGACCTGAAGCTTTTATCAAAGTGTTATCAAATATCAGTGTACTAAATAATTATCTGTATTAAAAAAAAAAACACTGCATAAATTTAATTGGACCTAGAAGTCGGTGTAAAAAAAACTTTGTGTGAACTATTGTTAATATGAACGAAGAGACTTCCTTTAAGTTATGGGTGATAAAATTTTGCATCAAAATTATTTATCCAAAATTAAATCCATACATTTTCCTCGTTTACCTAGCAATTAAATCAAATTATTACTTTCGCTATTGTGCCTTTACACACAAAAGTATGAATAAATTTACAATTAGGACAATACCACATTATATACTAAAATTTATTTTTAAAGAACACCCAAATGAAGACATTTTAAATGTTAGTCTACATAAGTGTATATTTATTTCTCAAGCAAATTTTATTCAATTATGTGTTGAAAACATATTTTATAGAGACAATGGACTGTTATGGGTCACATTAAAACTAACTCCAGAAGAGAAAGAGCAGTATGAAGCAAAGAGTATAAGGGAAAACTCAACCATGCTTTTAAAATATAATCTAAATTTAAAAACTTCAGAAATTCACAATAAGCTATGGACAGATTGTAAAATAAATAACTGTGCAAATTATAGAGTAGTACCCATCACTTACTCACCATATATACATGGTAATACTGCTTTAGTTAGTGAGAATGAGTTTTTTAACATAATATCATGTTTGGGTATAAGCAATATTGATAATCTTGGAGTTTCTCTACATCCAATGCCTACATTTGAATGTTCTCCAAAAATAGCATCTGCTGCAGAAGTGTGCCTCATTGTGAATGATTTCGATCTATCAAATGACTTTGTTAAAGAGATCCTAAGCAATTATTTTGAAGAACCAAGATTAGTAAGCGAAAATGACTTAATCACTATAGAGTTGAGTCCATTGATAATGGCTAAATATCATTACAAATATCTAGATTTAGTTGAGACATTGGGAATGTTACATTTCAAATGTGTAAAGATTAGCAGCGACATAAACACAACAACAAATACCCAAAGTATGAAGACCATTGAAAATGTTGTAAAAGCTTTTTATATTGTAAAAGGAGTTACACAATTAACTTTGGGAGAAAACATACACTCAATGAAGCCAAAATCTAGATATTTTAAGCTACAGAATACTGATAATCATTTGAATTTGCTGCATTCATGTCCCACAGGCCTTAGATCAAAGTTTGACCAAATACAAGAGGCAGTATATCCATTTTTGACAGGAGAAATAAGTAATTTAATTTTTTGGAAATTAAAAAATGCATTAGTGAATGTCAAATTATAAGAACTAAACTGATGAAATGTAATATTAATTCACAGATGAATTGTCATCATCTCTATCCAGCCCCATAATTCCTATGTTCCTAGTAACTGGCTCTATTGGTTCTGGTCGACATTTACTGATTAAAACGTTAGCAAAATACAATGGTAAGTATATTTAAAAGCATAATTGTAACACATCGCAGAATTTGACAGATAGATATTCTAAAAAATAATTTTAATAAACTTATGTTTATAAAATAAATGATTTTCAGGAGTGAATTGTTTGCAAGCTGACTGCAATGCTTTACAGAGCTCAACAGCAAAGCAGACTGAGAGTAAAATTAATCAAACTATACAAAAAGCTAAAGCCGCTGCGCCCGCTATTGTACTACTTGATAATTTTGAGGTAACCTAGTATGCTTATTAAATTGCATACATTCCCAACAGACCACCAGTTAGTTATATGTTCATGAAGATAACATGCTATGCATGTAACTCATTGTTTATCAGTAATAGGGCCAATTGTTTAGATTAACTTAATTCTCATGTGAAATATTAGTAAGTAAGTCAGGGCCAATTATATATGGGATTTTTATTAGAATAATTTTTAATCTAATGAAAATCCCAAACATCATTTTAACTAATTAAATATATGTATTGATAATTCAATTTTATACTGTTTTTTGTATACTTGTGTATTACTTTTTTCTAGGTATTTGCAGTTGATCCAGAGAATAATGAGGACCATAGAGTAATAGAATATTTTATGAATTCAATAACTGATTTGTATGAAAACTATACAAAACATTCAATAATATTTGTAGCGATCACAGATAAGATTGATTTGAAACCAAATATAATGAGAATGTTTCTAGATAAATTTCACTTGCCGAGACTAAATGTTGAAAAACGATATGAAATGTTACAATGGTTTGCTGCAGTAATGCAACTTAAAATCAGTGAAAATGACGCACAGACTAAATCAACCCATAGTGTTAATATAGAAGAGTTGTCTGATTCAACTCTAAGCAAACATTCAAAAGAAATTCTACAACGAGTGGCTTCTAAAACTGAAACTTTTGTCTATGGTGATTTAGATACACTAGTACACTTTGCTCTCAGAGAATCATATATAAAACAACATAATCATAGTCAATTGGTGCAGGATCCTGATCTACAGGTTTTGAACGAAGAGGATTTTAATTCAGCATTGGGTAATTGGAATTCTATTGATAGTCAACTTTTGCCTTTTGTTTGGTTGGTGGAAATAGTCATATTTACTTTTTATGTTGGCAAATGATATCAGTTTGCGATTTTATTAATCGCCTGATTTTTACATTTAATTTCTATTTTTAGAACAAATCAGAAGCCTTCAAAGTCAGCATTTGGATGCACCGAAAATACCAAAAGTTTATTGGGACGATATAGGTGGTTTGGAGAAACTTAAAAAAGAACTTCTAAAAACTATAGAGTTCCCAATAAAATTTCCACATTTGTTTAAAAATTCTTCATTAAAACGATCAGGTACAATAAGCCGTTATTATTATAATATTCAATAAAAAAAATTACGTGACTAACTATTGCATCTTCGTTCTTAGGTATATTATTGTATGGTCCGCCTGGATGTGGCAAAACTCTTGTAGCTAAAGCGGTCAGTACCGAACTAAACGTCAGCTTCCTGAGTGTTAAAGGACCTGAGTTACTCAATATGTACATTGGACAATCTGAAGAGAATGTTAGAAAAGGTAAAAATATAATATTAATGTATTAAACCCTTTATCCACTAAACTGGGCGCGTCAGTTCTTTTTTTAGGTTATATTTTGAGTGTTAAATATGAAGTTTAAATAATTTATTTAAGTGTTTGAGTCTGCGCGTGCGTCATCGCCGTGTATAGTATTTTTGGATGAGTTGGATGCGCTAGCTCCGCGGCGAGGCGCAGCAGGCGACTCGGGCGGCGCCAGTGACAGGGTCGTCAGCCAGCTGCTCGCTGAACTGGATGGTGTCACCAATGGAGAAGGTAACACTGAACAGTTTCAACAGTTACTATTTTAAATACCTTATTTCTTGGCTAGTCTTTTAAAAGTGAAATAGGCACGAGAATTTTCCATTATTTATTTAAACAGATGCAGAAACATCGAGCTTCGTATTTATAATGGGTGCTACAAACCGTCCTGATCTATTGGAGCAATCGTTGCTGCGGCCCGGACGTTTGGATAAACTGATATACGTCGGCCCCTATTCCGGCACCCAGGAGAAGACCTCAGTGCTGACTGCCTTGTGTAGGAGGTAAGATATATTGAGTCACTGGAAATATAAAAAAAATTGTATCTGAATGTTTCTTCAGGTCTCTCATATTAATATTCTGTGACAGTTACAAGTTGCGTGGAGAAGTGAAGCTGTGCTCTGTGGCGGAGGCGCTGCCGGACCGCTGCACTGGCGCAGACCTCATGCAAGTGGTGAGCACCGCGCGTAGTGCCGCAGTGCGGGGTCTCGTTCATAAGATTAATACTGGTATGTGCTTAAATCCAACAGCAGAACATTTTCAGTTAGACTTTTTTTAACCCATCGGCCGCATATTTGAATTATTGTATTAATTTTTCAGGATTGGTCAAGGAAACCGATTTAAGCCCTGACTCTATAATTCTTGGGGTTTCCGAACTATGGCAGGGTGTGGAATCATTCCGTCCGTCGGTGACTGAAGAGGAACTGGCATATTATGAATCACTGCAATACCAGATGTAATATGAGTGGACCTATTCCATTCCCGGGTTGTTGGTTAAAAACCAGATGAATAATAAGTCTATTAAAAGACAAAACTGTGCATATTGTTTTATTTAATTAAACTTATCCTGCCCAGAATCTTAATAGGGAGAAAAACTGAAAGCTGCAAGTACGTGTAGATGGCGCCAGCGCTTAGCGCCGAATCGTTTATCTGTCAAAGTTTTATATACTCTGTGACATTCTAGCGATTTAAAAATGTTTCTTTACTGTACCGGAGTTTTAAAAAGAGTTCTAAAGCCAGAATACAGAACCAAAATCATTTTTAGGGTTTCGTATCTCAAAATAAAAATAACGGAACCCTTTTAGGATCACTTTCTAGTCCGTCCATCTGTCTGTCAAGTGTCTTTTTTGTAATAAATAATTTATGCACTATCTTTAACATCAATCATCGGTAGGTATATACAAAAATTCAAGAATATTAACGTAAACATTAACATCAGTTTTGTACTTGGACGTAACCGTAGTTTTATTATGGATTTTCCAGGAAAATAAAACACCGCCATTTATGATATTTTAAAAGATATTTATTCTATTATTTCACTCATTCCAAAGAAATATAATATGGATAATTTTTGAATGAATAATGGATTTTTGAATAGATAAAGGAAACATTTCCAATTTTTTCGTTATATTTTTGCGCTTGGCTAAATACATACATAGACACCATAGACACAAATTTTGAGCTTCTGAGAACAAGTTGTCATGCGTTATCTGTAGTTCCCTCTTTTCTTTCCGTTTTCAACATGGTGAGTACTAGCATCAGTGAATTTAATGCCTTTGTTTATTAAATATACATAAATCTAAGGAAATTATTCTGTCACCATATGTTCAATTACAAAGTTTTTGTTCGACTTAGTTGAAATTTATCAAAATTACTTCGATCACTGTGAAATTCGCGTATGCTTGTGTTTTACAACCTCGTGGCTACAAATCATCATGTCGCATTTTGATTTTATTTTAGCCGCCCAAGAAGGACGCGAAGTCTTCGGCCAAACAACCTCAAAAGACACAAAAGAAGAAGGAAGGTTCCGGTGGCGGTAAAGCCAAAAAGAAGGTTAGTATTATTTTATTCTTGAAAGTTAGGTTAGGTTCTTTAAATTAGCGAACAACTTATTTTTCTCCAACTTAATTGACAACATTTTTGCTTGCACTCTCACTTTACCCCAAATACCGCATGGATTACAATTTTATGGAATTGACAAAATATATTAAATTTTTCCATTTGTTATTTTCTCTCTGAACATATAAACTAATATGCCAAATGATTATAAAATCTACCTTGACATCCATGAAAGTTAAAATTAACTGATATATTGAGGCTGATGGCAAAATAAATATAAGATAAAAGTTGTTTACAAATTATTCATGTTATAACTTAACCTTACATGAAATTTGCAGAAGTGGTCCAAAGGAAAAGTCCGCGACAAGTTGAACAACCAGGTGTTGTTTGACAAGCCCACATATGAAAAGCTGTACAAGGAAGTACCTCAATACAAACTGATCACACCCGCAGTTGTCTCTGAAAGGTTGAAGGTCCGAGGCTCACTCGCCAGGAGGGCTTTGATTGAACTCAGAGAAAAGGGTATGTATAAATTCAGATTTAAGACATAATATATACTTTTTGTACAATTTCCTGCCTTATATCCATATTGTTGGAGAGCCTGTTGCACAATTACGAAAACTGTGATTTAGGGTTCAAAAATGAAAAGTCTCTTTATTTCCCTTAGTGTTATGGACATCTGTGATAATGAACACCCTTATTTTATGTTTAATGTTCATTCATCACAGATATTGCTTACAATCAAAAGCTAAATAAGTTTGCTCAATGCATGTAACAGTTATGATCCATCTAGGAAACTATAATGTCCTGTATATTGTAAGATGTTAGTTTTCATAGGAATGATGACCAAGGAAATTTGTTTCCATGTACTCTTTGATTGCTAGATATATTAGCTAGATTTTTTCTTACATTAATATATTTTAACTATTAGTTATGAATATGCACATTACTAAGTAAATGCATAGTGATTTAATTTTAGTAGGATGCTCTGAGGATATCAGGGAAGGCTTAAACCATAAGTAACCTGAATAAATGAAAATATTTGTTTACACCGTGCCATTACTTTGGCAATGCACTATACAATTAGTTGTACCTATGTAATATTTCTTATGTGATGATCAATTTATCTGGATAAACCGTGACAGTAAAAATACTGATATATTGAGTCTGATAATAATATTGACAGTATTTTAACAGTGCTTCGATAAGATTCAAATCATTCATAGTATTTTTCTTTTCTTTCCAGGTTTAATAAAGCAGGTTGTCCAACACCATGGACAAGTCATCTACACGCGCGTGACGAAGGGTGACGACCCTGTCGCTTAATGGATAAGTTTTAAAAAATAAAAGAAAAAAAACAAAACTATGGTTTCATTTAAGCCTTATTTATTGTACATTGCACAGTTAACAATTTTTAGACTAAAATTTATTTTTGGACAAACTAATCAAAACACTAACGAGCACACTTTTTATCATTGACCTCTATGACTGCAAATCTCGCCGATGGATATAGATGACGTATACGATCCTTAAAATTGTCCGAGTGCTCTTCATTAGCAGTTTCAACTACAGCATTAGCCTGGAGAAAAATCCTCCAATTACCAAGTATAAGAGAGTAAAATTTGAATTTACATACCAATTCTAGAACATCATCTGCCCCATGAAATAAATAGAGTAAATGTAAGAATTTACTCGAATTATTACTTTTAAATAATGATTTTCCAACAATGGATGGTACAATTGAGAAATTAAAGACATTGGGATTACTTTTAAATTGTTATAAATACTTACCCACGTAGTTCCAACGTCGCTCTGAACCCACATTTGTTCAGTTACGAGACTTTTGAGTACGGCGTGCTCATCCGATATAATTTTGGCGAGGTTTTCAAGGCCAGTCCTATTGTCGCCCATAGGCACGGCGAAGCGGAGCAGCCGGCCCCAGGCGCTTAGGCCACGGTGAATAGTTCGCGCTAACCGGCTCGCGTCTATGTTACCTCCAGTTATTACGCATACTGTGCTGTAAATAAGTAATCGATCGTTAGAATAAAAACTTTTCTTAACATGCTCATTTACATCTACGGCGCAATTCAATTAGCAAAGTTTTTAACATAACTGATGAACATTTTAATTTCAATAATGGTTAAGTTTGCATTTCTGAACTGTGTCCTATAGAGAAATGCCATCCCCTCTAAACATTGTTTTATAAATCTTAATGTGTTGGCTTAATTTCTACTTGCCTTATGCCAACCCTTCTTAAAAAGAATAAATCAAAATTAAATATTTTATATGATTGCAATCCCGTTCTCTTCGAAAAATAAAAAAGGAAGGATTATGAGTGTACCGCTTTCCGCGCAGCTCTGGTACAAGGCCTTGCATGATGGCAGCGAGCGCGCATGCACCCGCGCCATCCGCCACCAGCCGCTCGCGCTCCAACACCGTGATCATTGCACGAGCGATGTAAATCTCATCCACTTCTAGCTAATCGTCAATATCAGAAAATAATAATAAATAATCAAAGATTCCTCTATAGTCTTAGTAATAACGTGTTTAGCTCGTTTTACACGACCCCTCCGAGCGGCTCAGTGCCGACCCAAGTTAGGGCTGAATATGACTGCTTAACAACTGCGCCACCGATGCTTTTACTTTAGTTATTAAGAATTCCAATTGAAGAACGTCTGCGTGTTGACGATTTGCTGCAGGATGGATAAAAGTCACGAAGCCGTAATAGTTGAATTTAATAAAAAATAAACGAACACTATACCATTCTATCAAGACGTCCTTTAACAGTGGCGAATGCGTTCCTGCCGACACTAGAGGTGTTTAAACCTTCCGCCAGGTTGGAGACGACCGGCACAGCAATAGGATGGCCCGCCTGACACGCTTTCAACATCTTGGGAACCTTCGCGCATTCCGCACCCTATTTAATGAAAGATTCCTTTTTTTTTTTAAAGAATAAAGTAGTAATTTAATAACTAGTGATAATTAAAAAGGTTTTTCCACTCTCAAAACATTGGTACAAAAACATATTGGCCACATCTCTGTATAAATGTAAGATAACCTTAAATAATGAAAGATTAAAATTACGTAAACAAGACAGGAGCACTTGAGCTTGCTGCAGGCGACGAGGACAGAGGCGAGCAGGCCACCGCTGCCGACGGGAACAATGACTGCGTCCGCCTCCGGCAACTGCGTGATGATCTCCATGCCCACTGTGCCCAGGCCTGCCATCACCGCAGGCTCGTCTGGGCTACGACACGCATCATTTATATCGTTACGCCATTTAAAAAATACCCACCATCTTAAATTTCACTGACTTTAACCGCGACCACTCCGAAGGAATACGAGTTAAATAATAATAAACTATACAATATAACCATGTTAATAAGGCAAAAGCGTTATCCATTTATTTTACACCTAAACCTAACATAATTTGTGGGTAGCATTACGAAAACATAACAGCTGCAATTCTGAATTTCATATTGTATAACAGATAATATATCAATTATATAAATTATCAATACCTAAGCAGTAATTGTCCTGTTTCCATGTGCACTTTCTTTGCATAATTGGTGGCATCCTCGAGAGTTTCGCCGCAAATGACCACGTCCGCGTTCAACTCGGAGCATCGCTGCGCCAGCCCGGGCGGTGTCCGATCAGGAAGTACCACCGTTACCTTAATTATTACAATTAACTGCTTATTATCTGATTTCCAATATTAAAATCACATTATGATTATATTGGTTAAGAATATAAGAAAAGCTGATAAACATGGAGTTGTATACCATTATTAGACTTTTTTAAAATTCGGTGCTGCTTCGATATTTATTTTTGGAAGCTAAATAATACTATACTATATTTACCTGAATCCCTAAAGCTTCACCGTGATATGCGGCGCCGATAGCCAAATTTCCAATAGAAGGGACGATAACTCCAGAATTAGTAACTTCAGCGTGACGCGATACAAACAGATTTCTTATTCCACGTTCTGCACAACTATATAAACGAATTTGATATTAAATAACCATAATTATTTTTAAATGTAGCTTATAGGTTAGCTTACATAATTTACTATGTTACCTGCCAGTGTATTGTAAGTTTTCACATTTCAAATAAATTTCGTAATCCATACACTTGCTCATTTTAGCCTCCTGAAAAATCGTAATTTTAATCGAATATGAAGTTTAAAGCATACAATTAAGGGTTTAAAGCTTCAAATAGACTGCGTAACATGTAATATTTTGTAAACATACACATAGCGGGGTATGTATAATTCCATCTTCGATTCTTTCGGCAGCTTGTTTAATTTCCGCGAAATTTAAAACATGAACATTGTCGGCATCACACTAAAACATTTTTTATATTAGGTTACAATTAAAATTAAATATAGAAATATCCATAATATCTTGTTGTTTAATATCTAATTCCTGAGTTATAAAATAAGAAAAGAATTGAGACATAATGTAAAGATTATTTTACTTAATATGTATTTTATATGATTACCATTGTAATATTTTATGAATAATGTGACCTTAACTGTGAATTTTATTTCTTATTTATACATTTGTGTAATTCTGACAATAAATTTACAAAACACAAGATACTTCCATCAAATTATGCTTGTCAGAGGGACAAATTTGTCAAAGTCATCAAAGAAACAAAGAATAATTAGTGTGAATAATCAAGTTTTTAGAGGGTTTTTATGTCTAACAATGATTTTATTCAAGATGAGTCATCATTAGTAATTGTTCATACAAATTGGGGTAATATAGAAAATAAAAGATGTATTTAAATGTGGCTCTCAAATTCATAGACTTTATTTTTATTTTAATGAAATGTCATTTATCTTAAAAAAATTAATTAATTGCTAAAGCATCATTATGAGCTTCTTGTGCTAATTGTACTTGAAGATTTAGCAACTTGTTCTTTAATACTACTATTCCCATGAGAACAACATTTTCTGGTTTCAGAGCTCCAGACGATTCAACATTATAAAAGTATTTATTAGGTTTTGCTTCCCAATTGAATTCTGCTTCAAACTGATTCTCTTCCAATTCCGTGTGTTCACTCTTGGGCCATTCATCTGGTTTGGGGTACAAAGTGTGCCGCATCATATTGTCAGGATCATACTCAAAGGAAACCCCTGCTGTCGGATTCCATTTAGCATGCTCCTTTCCAAAACCTTTCTTAGCATAAGCTCTTAATTTCAGTTCTTGTCCCTTACGTAATTTAATAATAAGAATCTCATCGATTTCACCATAATCAGTCTGATCTTCGTCTCTATGCCGAGAAGTTACAGGAACAACTCTGGGATCACTAGATTTTAAATCAGCAGTTGTAACATGTCTAGTCTGATCATCTGTACATTTAACATCCAATGTGAACTCCACACTACATTCTGTACAAAAATCGGCACACATACAGTCTCTTGAATAGCGTATTTTGTCAACGACATCATCAGAAATGAGCGGTATGAGACCTATACGATGAGCGAGAAATTCGTCACTAAGAACGGTCGAATTTGCTTCTAACTGAATCCAGTCGATAGCCATCGTTGGAGTCTCCGCTATAAACACGCGTCGCATACTATTTGCCACACTAAGTTCGGTATCTTCAACAACAAACTTTACATTGTCATCCGTTAGCTCTGTTATATGAACGGAGGGTTGATTTGCGTATGGCATTTTCAACAGTTGTTAATTAGCCAAAGAATAATACATTAAGTTGATGAAGTCCAAATTTTCCCCAAAGACTCCAGCAAACACAAAATCTAAATTATTATAAAATTATAGCAGCGTCTCGTCTCGGGTGATTGTAAACTTTGACAATTGACATTTAAATAAAGTGTTACCCTCCTCCAAATCGATATTTTACCACTCATGGAAATACAAGTTTGTTGAATTAAGTAGTATTTAAAGATATCGATTATAACTACTAACTTTTCTTTATAATAAGGATATTAAAAGAAAGTTATAATATTAATATTCTTGAGCCATTGTGTCTTCGAAAATTACTTTCTTCTAGATAGACAGATACTCGTTATTTTTGGAAGTCTCTTTAAAACCAATTCTAAACTGATTTAAAACATGTCAAATATATTTTCTTCTTTTTCTCAGACATATGGCATCCATTGCTGGTCAAAGGCCTCCCTCAAAGACTGCCCCGATGATCGCTCCTGTGCTGTCCACAACTAGAATTCTTCCGCAACCGAATATATTTTAATGACATTAAATTACAATAAATTTGAAATCCAATAAGTGTTGAGCTAGATAACAGATACGGCAGTTACCTAATGCGACAGTTATGTGTTCCTTTTTAATTAACTACGATAAGTACCAACGACTAGTTTACAATAAACAACGCAGC